AAGCATAAGCAAATGAATGCAGCTTCCCACAAAGGCCAAAGGAGGGCATCATTTCTTCTGTAATTGGAGTAGGAAAGCTGTGAGTTGTTTGGCATAGATGCTGGGAACAGAACTCTCTCTAGTCCTCTGTAAGAGCAGTTCATGGTCTCAGTCAGTAGCTGAACTACTAGGTTCAGAACTGAGTATAACTAACAAGGCGACCTAATTATCTATGACCAGTGACACAGAATTGCTACTAACAAGTTTAGTGGCAGACTCATCACATTTATAAATGAATCACTTATAGCATTAAAATCTCCCAAGCTTGTAAGTGAATTTCCTAAGTGTGACACTAAACAAAACAGTCTACATTTTCCTAAAAACCTACATGTCTGGGGACAGCAGTTAAGAAAGAGAAGAACTGCTCTTCCAGAGGATCTGAATAGGGTTTCCAACACCCATATGGCTAAGAGCCTTTTGTAACTACAGTTCCACAAGTGGTGCATAACATACAGGCAAAACATCCATACACATAAAAGATCTTAAAAAATAACAAAAACCCTACATGTCCATAAAGTAGAGGTCTCTAGAGTAGAAGCATTGAGCCTAAAATTTAAAGACAAGAAGGAAAAGTTCCAGAGAATAAAAGACTACTTATACTCAATACTAATGGCAATTTCCCAAACACTCTTAGGAAATAGTGTATATGCAAAGCTAGAACAATACCCTAAACTTAAATGAAATCTGTGCTTAATTTTATTTATTTATTTTGAGGTAGGGTTTCATTATGTAGCTCTGGCTAGCTTGGAATTTGCTGTCGACCAGACGGGCCTCAAACTTAATAGCAATCCTCCTGCCTCTACTTCCAGAATGCCTGGATTAAAGACATGTACTACCACTGTATCAGGAATTTGAACAAATTCCACAAGTTAATGAAATTTGTCTCCATGAAGAAGATGCAACTAATGCACAAGATATGTTAACCTTAAGCTTTATAAGTGAAAATTTCCAAACAAGCTCCTTTCCTACCATTGTTTTAATTTCAAACCAATAAACTAAATAGTTGTGTGGAATCTGCCTTATGCTTGGAATCTCCTTTTTGCTTCATTAAAGCAGTATGGGAAAAGTACTGCTACATGTATGTCAAGGATCAAGATTTACATGAGGACAGCATAAATAAATGGTTTGGAAATGTGACTAGTTACTTCAGCTAGTATTCTTACGAAAAGTACCTGAACATGTGTGAAACACAGTTAAGAAAATGAAGAGGTAGGCAATGTCTTCCATTTAAACCCCCACCCATAAAATTACAGGATTTGATAGGATCAATGCCTCTTCCCTTAAAGGGGGGGGGGGAAGACTTCTCAGAAAAAGAAGTTCATAAACTATTTGGCTCATTCCAATGCCTAACCCAACCACATACACTTAGATTATGGCATCATTCTTTTAAGAAACAAAAGTACAGACCACAAACTTTAAATTAAAACACACACACACATACACACACACACACACACACACGAGAAAAGGGTTTGTTTTAAAATATTTTAATGGCAAACCACGATGACCATTCAAAACTGAGCTAACAGTGTTTAAACACCGTGCCAGTATATTTGAGAACATGAATTTGAATATCCTTAAAAATAAACGTAATCATAATAACGAAATCGTTACAGTTTATTGACTACAGTACATAATAAAGAAAAATAATTTCAAATTCTTCCTAATATCCACAGTATATTTCTGTGGTTGATATACTCTCTCAGAGAGCTTGGACTCTTAAGGTCCTCTACTGCCTCTCAAATCCTCTATTTTAAGTAAATCTTGTTTACCTGTACACAAGTATCCATTAATTCCTCCCTGGCTGACAAAGATTTCACTTTTTCTGCTACATAGTTATGTCGTGTATTTAGAGGTGACAGGTAACCCTTTCTAATTAAGTGTTGACGGTTAAGTGTCTACTTGTATATATACGACTTTTTGCCTTCTACGACATTTTTCTCCCCTGCTCTGCAGTTAAACGTCTGGGCTCCTAGATCACATCTGGATCCTTCGCCCTTGTCCAATCCCATATGGTTTCCCCAATTGTCGCGTAGGGTGGCATCAGAAGACCTAGCGCGAACCCCCTGCGGGAGATGATCACTAGGCTGTCACCAGGGAGCAGGCGTGGGCCAGAACCCGGGCGAATCCGACTGCTCATCGCGACGGCGCGCCTCTAAGGGGACCCGGGGCCCCTCGGTGCGCCCAGGCAAGCCGGGGGTGCAGCTGTCGTGGAGCCGGAAGCTCACGTGGGCCCTGAGCCAGTAACAGGAGGTGCAGGAAAGAAAGGGGCTCACTGCGACGTCCGGCTCAGAACCCCCGCCCCGGCCCTGGCCAGCTGGGCGAGCGGGAAGCAGCCACCGCCTCAGCCCGGCCCAGCGGGGACCCGCCCAGGGGCCACTCCCCAAGGGAGGCAGCCAGTCACTCGCCCGCCCCGCCGGGCCCGCTCCCGAGGGGACGGATTCCAGCCCGCCCTCACAGGGCGCCTCACGCCAGGGCCCCCAGGGCTTTGGCCACCTCTCACCTTTGACGACGCGGTCGGCCCCGAGAGGGGGCGGCGGGGGCGGCGCGGCCCGGGCCGGCTCCGGAGCGGCCATGCTGGGCCCGGGGCTCGGCTAATGCCGGGCCGGGCGGGGTTGGGGGCGGGGGCGGCGGCTACCAGAGCCAAGCGGCAGCGCCGCCGGGGAACATGGCGGACCCTCTTTCCCTTCAAGAGGGGCTAAGACCGTCATGCACCGCGCGTGCGGGGGCGGGGGCGGGACAGGCTCCAGGGACTTGAGCAAAATTACCGTACCTATTACAGAACCGAGCGCAGGCCAAGGGATCAGGTGAAAATTCCTTGCATGCAGAAACACTTGACCATAAAGAGAGGGTGCTGACCAGATTTAGAGGCTGTGATGAGTGCAAAAATGAAGAGATGTAGTCAGATCTCAGAATTTACCGCTACTAGACAAATAAATGACAGTTTATCTACAAAACCTCTATCGTATGACTGCAGACAAGAATGAAGGAGGAATTGTAGACTGTAAAGAAGTGGCATTAGCATTTAAAATGAAATTTATCCTGTAAGCCCAGACCTAGGGAGACAAAGGAAAGCAGGATCTCTGTGAGTTCAAGTCTGACCAACCAGTCAGGGCAATCAGTTTCAAAAGAAACGGCGGGGCGAGGGGGGGGCGCGGGGAGGAGATAGGGGAGGCAGGGGCAGGTAGGCACTAGGTATAGAATTATGACCCTTGCATTTAGAATTTGGAATGGTCCAGAGTCTGAACTCATTTAAGCTCAGCTGAAGAAGCCTAAGCACCAGTCAGGGGGAGTGAGGGAATGACATCAAAAGATAGTTAAACAATCTGTAAGATTACCTAGGAAGGCCATAGCCTCCCTGTTAAATCACTCAGAAAAAAAAAAAAAGGACATATATATGAATAAATTCACACAAATGAATATAATTCAGATATAGATATATATCTATACACACACACACATATACATGAAAGGAAGTTGAACAGTAGAGACTAGGTAGGTAGAAAATTGGAAATTGGTTCCTTTATCTTTGTGCATACAAAGTGTTTGGGACAGGCAACTTACAGAAACAGATCCAAGTTGACCAGCATCTATGAGGTCAAGGAATAAGAGCAGACTGTCCCATCAATAATGATTAGTTATTGTGAGATGGCTCAGATGAAAAAGGCATGTGCCACCAAACCCAATGATGGCACTACAGAGCATACAAGGTGAGAGGAAAAACCAACTCCTACAACTCATTCTCTGACCTTCATGTGTCCCTCTCGCACATATACAAATTAACTAACTACAGTTTTTATAAAAGATTAGAAGAGTGTGTATGACAGCAGATATCATTACTTAGGCCCATGTGTCTACATGGCTTAGGATCCAAACAGGATGGAGAAATAAACAGTCTTGATGTGCTCGGAATCTGTCCCCAGTGATGACTGAGGGAAGTAGTAGAACAAAGTTCTCAGCATCTTTTGTTTCTTTGTGCCAATCAATGAGCTTGAGCTGTAATAAATAGGGAAGGAAAGTACAGTGGATATTCTTTGCAAAGAAAACCTACAAAATTATTTTACTTTGTGTGTACGTTTTGCCTGCATGGATGTCTGTACCACATGCATTCAGTTCTCACGGGGGACAGAAGTAGTTATATTCCCTGGAACTGGAGCTAAAGAAGGTTGTGAGCCACCATGTGGGTGCTGAGAATCAAACCCAGGTCCAGTGGATGAAACAGCCATCACTGTGCCATCTCTCCAGCCACACACAAAAAAAAAAAAAAAAAAAAAAAAAAAAAAAATTTTTTTAAAGAAAAGAGACTTGCTGGGCATTGGTGGTGCACTCCTTTAATCCCAGAATTCAGGGAGACAGAGACAGGAAGATTTCTGTGAGTTTGAGTCCAGCCTGGTCTACAGAGCTAGTTCCAGGACAGGCTCCAAAGCAATACAGAGAAACCTGTCTCAAAAAAACAAAAACAAAACCAAAACAAACAAAAAAAAAAAAAAAAAAAAAAAAAAAGGAAAGGAAAAAGAAAAGGGACTTTTGGGAATGTGTCATGGGTGAGGACAGATCTGATCTCATTATCATAGAGATATTCTGACTCTTAAAGGAAAAAGAAAAGGAATGGGACCATAGGAAGAGATCAAGGGATAGGAGGCACATCACAAACCTGTATGGTAAAGAGAAAGGGCACCAAGAGTGGTACTTATGCCAGCAGTTGAGTATGTCAGTAATTTGAATGCCCAAGAAATCTCCTTAGTAAGGGGAAGAATGAAGTATGTAATATATTGAGTGTCCAGGCAGGAAAGGGATAGGAAACATGCTAGCAGTCATAACAAAAGGATATACCGACTCCACCAGTGACTATATATTTTTCAACCCCTCTTTGACTCTGCATTTTTACTTAGTCAAAAGCCATTTTATATAAATGTCCAGGCCTCCTGGCCCCAGAAGAAAAAAGCAAGAACATACAAAAGTTAAATAGAACTATCTTATAGATTTATTAATGAAAAATACTTTACAAAAACAGTATGCTTTGCCCTAAAATAGTTTAGCTGACTCTGAATTTATAACAGTGACTGAGCAAATGATAGTAATGGCTCTGCTGCTGAGGATAGGAGGGTGTGTTAGTGAGCCCAACTCCATCTGTTCAGAAGGGCAAATACTATATTGGCAGCTCCATGTTCTGGGCCTAAAGGCTGAGTCACAAGGAAGGGTGACAGCCATAATACCTGGCAGTTGGGCTTCCCATAAGGATTTGGTCAGAATCATGACTACAGAGATAAGGAAGAGTCCAGATAATAACTAAGTAGTCAAAGTAGAGAATATAGTAGGAACCAAAAGATGAAGGCTCAGCTGGAGATGGAGCATAACAGTAACAAAGAATAAAACAATGTCCAGAGCACAGAGCAATAAAATAGGTTCAACTTTGAAGTGGCTCAAATAAAGCTCTAAGCATCAGCTGCTTTTGACAGAGAAACCAAAGTGTAAGTTTTCTTTTCTTTTTTTTTTTTTTTTTTTTTTTTTTTGCCCCATAGGATTTAATATGGCCCAGACCAGACTAGCCTAGAACTCACTATGTAGCCAAGGATGAACCTGAACTGAACTTCTGATCCTCCTGCCTGCCTCCCTCTCAATTGTTAGGGTTACAGGTGTGCACCACCATGCCCAGTTTTACATGGTGCTAAGGATCTAACCCTAGACTTTCTGCATGTTAGGAAAACACTCTACCAACTGAGCTACAGTCCCAGCTCTAAAGCTGGAATTTCAAATATTCCCTCTCAAAGAAGCAAACACCCTTAGTAAAAAGCCAACAATTCTTCTGTTGTGGTGATTCTGTTTTGTAAAGCACAGTCTCTTTTAGCCCAGAGTCTCTGGCTTGGAACTGCTGATTCTCCTGCCTCTATCTCCCAATTGCAGTGATTATAGGCATGTGGACAGAAACTGCCAATTCTACATTGAGATGATTATAGCATAACTGGCAGGATGCAAGGTATCAACTTTGCCACTGTAGTTTCATAGAGAAAGGTGTTGCTCCAGGAAAGGCTAGGGGTGATCCTTACCACCTACTGTGCTGTAAAAATCTCCTCCAGGGGCATTGGATAGAATAAACATAATTCTCTCCTCTCCAGTCCTCCTATGCCTGAACTGGGAGGGATACCTGCCCTGTCTCCAGTCATCATCTGGAGGCATATCTATTCTTCGAGGGCCAGGTGTTCGGGACCCCAGAACAGGACCTGAATTCCAAGCGGACCCAAGGAGTAAATGAAGACTGCTGGGCGGTGGGGACACTGGGTAAACAGCAGGAGGATGGGAGGGTGAATGGAAAATACTCCCGGAGGACTGGGCATGAGGAGCCTGAAGGCCCTGGCTTTGTTCTGGTAGCGTGGCAGTGTAGGTTAGCTGAGTCTTGCATGCTGACTTAGTTAGGGCTCTGGTCCCAACATGCTGATTCATCTCTGACCCCAGTCCCCAGGAAGCATCAATTCTGGAACGATGGGGTAGACTTCGGTAGTTCAAAGTCCTTCCTGTGTACTTGACCCCTTGGGGAGTTTCATCCCTGTCACACATAGCCAGAAACTGTTGGACATGTCTCGAAGTTCCTGAGAAGAGAAAAAAAACCAAAGACTGAGTGAGTATCTTTAGAAAACAGTTCTCCTTCCCAAAGGATCATCCCTGGCTATTTTGCCCAACTCTTACTTGTCCAAGAATATACATACAGGAAAAAAGAAACCTAGTTTTGTTTTTGATAAACATATTTTGAACCCAAGGCCTTGTGCATGCTAAGCAAGCACTCTACCATTGAGCTATACATCTTAGCCCTAAAAACTACTACATATTACATCAAAATCAATCTCTTCCATTTGGGAGAAATGAAGTAGTCTCTTGCCTAGTATAATACCTACCTCCACAGTAATCTTTCTCTAACACACTCAAGCACACACATTTATAAATGCATGCACAAGAGTAGCTACTTAATAGAGCAAATATATCCCCTTGCAAACTCCTACAGCAATTACACTAAAATTTTCTTTCTTCTTTTAAAGGTAGAGGTGTGTGTGTGTGTGTGTGTGTGTGTAGCAATTACACTAAAATTTTCTTTCTTCTTTTAAAGGTAGAGGGGTGTGTGTGTGTGTGTGTGTAGCCTTGCTGTCCTGGAACTTGCTCTAGATCAGACTGGCCTCGAACTCACAGAGATCTACCTGCCTCTGTGCTGGAATTAAAGGCATACCCCATCACTGCCTAGTTTTGTTGTTGCTTTTGTTTTGTTGTTTTCTCTTGTTCACTTGGCTTTTCTTAGCAGTTAGTTTTCTTAGAAATTCCTTGCTGAATTTCTGAGTTTTTTTGCTTTTGTTCATATCATTCTTACCTCACATACAATATAGAAAGTCTTTTCTATACATTTCTTTCACTGTGGCATTTGTGACATTGTGGGCTGATAATTCTTTATTGGAATCAGAAGGAACTGCCCTGTGCACTCTATGATGTTTCAAAGCATCTTTATCCAATATATATTAGGTATCAAGTAACATGTCCTCTTCCCTACTGAGAACCACAGACTTAAAATGTTAAGTTAAATCCGTGAGGAGGAAAAAGTGCATCTCTATGGAGGTCAGTGAAAGCCAGAATGGTACTGCCTATCTTCCTCTGGACCATCTGGATCTATATATATATGACATGGGTTCTCAAGGCACAGTGTCTTCCCAGTTTTCCAGTCATTTTGTCCTCCTATACCATCCCTCAGTTGAACCTCAATAAATAGAGGGGAGAAAACTAGCTGAAAGAGATGACACTTTCAGTTTGGGGGAGGATCCCAATGGCTCCTTATTAACTACATACACTTCACCACTTAAAACCTTATTCCTGTGTGACTGAAACAGTTCAGTTCACTATCATGAACAAAGCATGATGTCTAAAAATTTACTCGTCATACTTCAGGAAGATCAGTGCTTAATCTTAAAACAGTAATTCATATATTTTTTCCATTCCACCTTGGGACACCCCACTTTCTCAGTAGGTATACTAATTTGACCCTGAAAAAGAATCATATTTTAGTAGATAATATTAGTTTGGGGTGTTACCTGGGGGTCTATAGGGCTCCCCTGCCATGCTGGGCATCAGAACATCAAGGGGCAGGAACTGTGGTTGGGGAGGGTAGAGTTTAGGATCAAGGAGCAATACAGGAGGGTCATGGATGACAGGGAGGGAGGAGGAGCTCGAACAATGGTGCCGGGTTTCCAAAGTCTTTCTCCTCACATTTGATGAATCCTTTTAATGAGACAAGACCAAAAAAAAAAAAAAAGAAAAGAAAGCACACAAAGATGAGGGTTAACACGGTAGGATGTGGTTGGATAAACACAAGTGAAACAAGCAGGAGGGATGAAAGAAACTAGAGTACAACACACTTTTTCTAGAAAGGGACTCATATTACTACACTATACTATCTGCCAGTCTCCCTGGGAAAGAAATGCCTAAGATCCATTCCTTCTACCATTTTCATCACATCTTCTATCTTCCTAGTTCCACCATCTGGGTCTTCAGCAATCTCTTTAATGCTAAGAGTGCAATTAAAGAGCTAGAAATAGAAATTTGAAAATAGGAACTGAGAGCTGGGCATGTTGATATATGCACCCCTGTAATCACATACTTAGGAGACCTAGCAGGACTTCTCTGAGTTTAAAGCTAGTTTGGCTCATATACTAAGTTCAAAGCCAGTCTAGGCTACACAAGCAATATCCTTTCCCAAAAGAAAAAAAGAAAACTATGAACAAATTAGGGGTTGGGAGTATAGTTCTAGAGTAAGCCTTGGGATTAAACCCTGGTACTCAAAACAATAAAGGAGACAAAGGAAAGGAAAGGAGAAAGAGAAGGAAGTAGGGATGGTTATTTAAATAGATAAGAGAGACTGAAAGAGTCCCCACTGGACACTAAACTACCTATTGAAATACACAGCTGAACTCTACACCACCTCTGCCCTGCCAGCGCCATTCCACAATTGCTTGTTTTGCATGCCATGCTCCTATTTCCAGTTTCTTATGTTCTGCCTTGGCTCCATTCACTTTTGTGGTAAAGATCCAGAAGTATTTCCTTTAATCATCAGAAACATTAAAACATCCAAAATTGAATGAACCATCTCCAAACTCCTTCTAGTATCATATTTTTCTAAGTTACTCAGACATAAACTTCGTATTTCCATTCACCATCACCAAAGAGACATTTCTACTTATCAATTTCACATTTAAATTTGCCTGGACCATTGCAAAAGCCTTAATCTGATCTTCCCATCTCCTGTTACCTGCTTAAGGTAACCTGAGTTACCTGTTATAATGTCCCATATGACACAGTGTGACTGATCTCACTTAATCCAGTATTGTCTCTTGTGTCCTTTACACACCACTTTTTCTTATTTGCTTATTCTTATTATAATTATTATTTTGGAGATTGTTTCTTGTTATATAGCCCAGGCTAGCTCAAACTTAAAAATTGTCTGCCTCAGCCTCACAAATATAAATGTTACAGGCAAGTACTATCACACATAGCCTTTCTTAATGTTTCTCAGCACACCAACTCATCCTATCTCAGTCATTTACACTTGCTTCTCTATCCAAGAATTATCTCTCATGGCCCAAAATTTCCTATCACTGAAATCTCTGATCAAATATTAATTCCTCTCAAAGATGGTATCTCTTACTACCCTAACCAAAAACAGCTCTAAGGAAAGACATTACCTCTTTAACAGCTTTTCCACTGACTTACTTTATTCTTCATTATCATAATTATCACTGTCTTGGGTTATAACATTTGCTTTTAAGTGTCCTTCTTTTCTTGTAGTAGAACATATTTAATTTCAGTATCCCTAACATCTGAAACAATGCAAGTACTTAACAAATAATATGATAAATGAAATGATCTTTATATCAGTATATTTAGTTTCCTTTAATAGGCTGCAAGCTATTCAAGGATAGAATTTGTGTTATATCATTAGTCATATTCATGATACTTATGGAAGTGTTTCACAGGGGAAAAAAAAGGATTTCTAGTAGAATCCCCACTTTCCCTTTGAGGTCTTGATGTCTGTTCTATAGTTTTAAGCTTCTTCAGAAACAGACTCACCTTGAATGTGACACTCTTCACAGAAATGTCCTGGCCCATTTCTTGTCCTTATTATGCTTTTCCCTCCTTTCAGTGGTGAGGAGTCCAGATCAAATTCTCAACTTCCAGCCCAAATATCTCAGACCCAGTCATTACAAGCTACTTTCAATAATGAATAATATGCCCAAAATTGTGTAACTATCCCAAACACAATTATCAACTCACAAAACTTGAATATTACCCTTAGTTCCTCTTTCCTCCGCATGAAGGCAGGCAGCAATCTTATTTTCCTTTACTTGTTACCTGGCTCTCCAATATATTTACTTCTATCTTCTCAAACTCCCATTGACCTTCAGGATCCTATGTGCTCCATGATCTGACTACTGCTTATCTTTTTCGTATAACTTGCCAACACGTCCATCATTTCTCCCCATCAGACTTTCTAACCCTGTCATACCATATTATCCTCTTTTAATCCAATGAAGATTTACTTCAATTCCTTTTGTCTAGTACTCATTTTTCTTTCTCCATGAAGCCTTTCCCAATACCTCATCTCTTCTATGATGGTCTCAGAGCAGCAAGTATTTAATCACATTATAAAATTGTTTGATTATTTGTCCCTGTAGTAGACTAAAAGCTCCATGAAACCAGAGACTGTTTCACTCATTAACTACAGCCTCCCCAGAGCTTGGCATAGCATCAAATATATAAGTTCGATAAGCACTATTTTAAAAGGATGAACAAAATCAATAAATAAGTGCATGATACACCAGACAATAGCAAATGCTCTTAGGAAAATAACATTTAGATTGAAATGCTATGCCAGGGAAATCACCTTTTCCCAAAGAAGAGGATGAGAAGGAGATGGAAGACAAGGAGGAAAGGAAGAAGTAGGAAAAGGGAAGAAGAGGAAAAGAAGGAAATGTTTATTCATTAGGAACTTACACTCGTAACCTTTAGAGTTCCTTTTGGGAGGGAATTGTCTATGAAGGGCTTGTAGGAAAGAGACAATCTGCACTTTATATCCTTTTGAACCTTTTTAATTGTACCATGTATTTAAAACCTATTTTAAGGGGGTTAATGTATATAGTCAGGCAATAGGGGGATTGCCCAGCATGTGAGGTTCTAAGTTTAGTCCTGTTACTACAAATAAAAAATAAAGTAAGCTTGATGTAGTGGCACATGCCCTTCATCCCAAAACTCTGGAATCAGATCTTTGGCTGGCAGATCTCTGTGGAGTTCAGCCTGGTCCACCAGCCAGAGTACATAATGAGACAATAATAATATAAGCAAAATAAACCTGTTTTTTTTTCTTCATCTTTTTTTTAACATGTTGATCCCAGTTCCCTCCCCCTCCCTCCCTCCCTCCCTTTTACCCTCTCTGCCCCTTCACATGCACCCTGACCACCCTCCCCTCCCATCCCCCACCCCAATTCCACATATAGGGCAATGCCATCCAGGTGGGGTCAAGTAAAGCTGTCATTTGAAGTAGGGACTAGGACTTCTCTCCTGTCTCTAGGTTAAGGCAGTATCCCTCCATGGGGGATGTGTCCACAAGGTCCTTTTGTGCACCAAGAATACATCCTTGTTCCACTGTCTGAGGTCCCTTAGACTGCTCAGTCCTTCTAGCTGAGACTAATATTCAGGGGGGCCATGAGTCAGTCTGGGGGCCCGTCAGCTCCTCCTTGTTCAGGTCAGCTGTCTCTATGTGTTTCTGCAACCTGTTCTTGTCCTCTCCCTCTGCATCTGGATTCTAGTTTGACTCAGTGTTTAGTTATGGGTGTTTGCTTCTGTTTCCAACAGGTACTAGATGAGGGCTCCATGATGGTGGATAAGTTAGTTGTTGATCTCACTATCTGGGAAGTGCATTTATGGTAGCCTTTCCACGGTTGCTCAAATTGTTAGTTGGCAGCATTCTTATAGGTCTCTAGACCTTTCTTTAGGTTCAGTTTTCTCTTCAAACCAATAATGGCTTCCTCTGTTATGTTCATATGTTCGTGCTCTCTCTCTCTCTCTCTCTCTCTCTCTCTCTCTCTCTCTCTCTCTCCTGTCTTCTATTCACATGCTTTCCTCTCTCCTCCCCTTCTCTTTCTCCTACTTCTCTCTCCATTCACTGTCCCCCTCCACTTCCCATGTGCTCTGGGGGACTTGTCCCTTCCCCCTTCTCTGAGGGACTTTATATGAATCTCTTATAGGAACTATGTGGCTCTAAAGAAAGAAATTAAGGAAGACACCAGAAAATGGAAAGATCTCCCATGCTCTTAGATAGGTAGGATAAATATAGTAAAAATAGCAATCCTGCCAAAAGCAATCTACAGATTCAGTGCAATCCCCATTAAAATCCCAGCACAATTCTTCACTGATCTTGAAAGGATAATAATCAACTTTATATGGAAAAACAAAAGACCCAGGATAGCCAAAACAACCCTAAACAATAAAAGAACTTCAGGAGGCATCACCATCCCTGACTTTAAGCTCTACTACAAAGCTATAGTTCTGAAAACAGCCTGGTATTGGCACAAAAATAGACAGGTAGATCAATGGAATCGAATCAAAAACCCTGATATAAACCTACACACCTATGAACACCTGATTTTCGACAAAACAGCTAAAAGAATACAATGGGGGAAGGAAAGCATCTTCAACTCATGGTCCTGGCACAATTGGATGATGGTGTCTAGAAGACTGCAGATAGACCCATGTCTGTTGCCATGCACAAAACTCAAGTCCAAATGGATCAAAGACCTCAACATAAATCCAGCCACACTGAACCTCTTAGAAGAGAAAGTAGGAGGTACCCTTGAACAAATTGGTATAGGAGACCACTTCCTGAACATAACTCCAGGGGCACAGACACTGAGATCAAAAATTAATAAATGGGACCTCCTCAAACTTAGAAGCTTCTGTAAGGCAAAGGAAATTCTCAATAGAGGAAATCAAACAGGCTGAAAGACACTTAAGAAAGTGCTCAACATCCTTAGCTATCAGGAAAATGCAAATCAAAACAACTTTTTGGAGATACAATCAGAATGGCTAAAATTAGAAACACCAATGACAACCTATGGTGGAGAGGATGTGGAGAAAGTGGAACACTCCTCCTCTGCTGGTGGGAGTGCAAACTCATACACCCATTTTGGAGATCAGTATGGCGGTTCCTCAGGAAAATGGGAATTGGTCTACCACAGGACCCGACAATCCCCCTCTTAGGCATATACCCAAATGATCCACATCCATGCAACAAAGACATGTGTTCAACTATGTTCATAGCAGCATTATTTGTAATAGCAAGAACCTGGAAACAACCTAGATGCCCCTCAACTGAAGAGTGGATAAAGAAGATGTGGCACATCTACACAATGGAATACTACTCTGCAGAAAAATAATAATGGAATCTTGAGATTCGCAGGAAAGTGGATGGCATGTGAAGAAACCTCCTGAATGAGGTAGCCCAGTCACAAAAAGAGGAACATGGTATGTACTTGCTCATATATGGATTTTAGACCTAGAGCAAAGGATTACCACCTATAAATCACACCACCAGAGGAACTAGCATACAAGGTGTATTCTAATAAACCTGTTTTTTATGTTTTTATCAAATTGATCCAGTGGACAAGCTTCAAAGCAGGATCCTCTGTATCCCAACAGCGATAGTAATGAGAAAGTTCAACTTGTTTTAAAGAGGATGTAAGAGTCTCGGAAGAGTAGATTACCTATAAACTTAGCCAACAAGTAGTACTTCAATTTGATGATCAATCTCTGCTATGGGGGTGGAGAGTGACAGCAATACCCAAGGTTTGAAGGTTAAGACAGGACAGTACCACAAGTTCAAAGCCAGCATGGTCTACACAGTGAATCAGAGAAGAACCAGGGCTATAGACATAGCAAAACCCTGTATCAAGAGAAACCAAAACACAGAAATAGGATAAAAACAAATTTAGAAGTCTCAAAAAGGGGGTGTTTTAATCATTTTTTTCTTTTTAGATAATACATGTTTCACTTTTGATTTAACACTTACTGGACCCCACTCTGTTGTGTACTAAGCTGTAGAGAAAGAAATACACCATTTTCCTTCCTTTTATGAGTTCAATGAGTCTCACCCCATCAGTGACTTTTGCTTTTCAGATTCTTCTCAAGGCTTCCAGGACTCCCACTTGGAAAGCTTGGTCCACAACTGTAGAGCCAATCACTGAGGGGTGACTGGATCATAAGAGTGGCAGCTTCACTGGTAGTTCATTCACTGATGAACACATTGATAAATGGGTTATTAAAAGGTATGAACTGAGCCAGGCATGTTGGGCGTGCCTTTAATATCAATACTCAGGAGGAAGAGGCAGGTAGATCTCTGTGAGTTTGAGGCCAGCCTTGTCTACAGCATGAATTTCAGAACAGCCTGGTAGAACAGCCTGGTATATACAAGAAAGCCTACCTTGAAAACAACAAGAGGTATGGACTAATTAGAGAGAGCAAACGGTGTGCCCTTTGAAAGGTATACCTGTCCCTGGGCCCTCCCATCACAGTCACTCTGCTTCATGGCCCTCTCTAACATATGTTCTGCCTTGGCTCAGGCCCAAAGCAACAGAGCTATCAGTCACAGAGGAAAAAACCCCTAAGATCACAATTTGAAATAAATTCTTCCTCCCTTGTCTCCATAGGTATTTTGTCAGAGGTGATCAAATTAATACAACTCTTCACATCCTAGAATCCTTTTCAAAGCGTTGCAGAACTTGCAAAACTACTCCAGGAAAGGACTATCCTCTGGACTTTGAATACATGTGTGCGGGACCATGTGTCCTGATTCTGGGTAAACATATAACTTTCCCCAAATGGCAACTGTTAGTTTCTCCCTGTTCTTTTACATACACTGTATTTTTACTAGCAAGGAGGATGGTGTTCTGAACAGATGGATCCTGATTCTACTTACAAAGCTGTGGGGAGAGACCTGAGCTGCCTCCCTTCCTGAGAAAAGGCTTTCACTTAGACTGGTGAGATGCATCCTCCCTATCTCCAACTGAGACCAGCACAAGCTGCAGCTTTCAAGCACACAGACACACACAGATTGACATAAGACATTTGACCTGTGATCTCCCTCCCCCCCAACCCAGCCCCTGTACTCAGAGGTATGGGAAAAACTGTTAAGACTCTGAATTAACATCTAAATTAGACAGATTCCAAAGGCAGATGCCATGTGGTAGCCTCCCATCACTCAAAAGCAGCCCCATCTGAGATCATTCTCCTCGCAGCCTCACACCACCATGTGCACCAATGCCCTTCCATTGGCCTCTTTACATGCTTTCTTCTCTAGTACACCTCCCAAGTCCAGCACCGTAGCACCAGAAGCTGGTACCTGAGAGACAGGCGCTGTGCTCGGTCCATGAAGAAAATGCTCCATCTCTGCTGTTGGAGTCTTTGAGAGATCAAGACCAGGGGCTGAGTGCAGTCTCCTCCCCATGCCATCTGCAAAGTCTAAGGAGGAAAACATAAAAACAAGCTGAAGCTACCCCTCCTCTAGGGCCTAAAATCTGAGCCTGGAAGCACAGGCACTGGAGTATGTAATTAATATACATCTCTGAATCCAACAGGGAGTATGCTCCTCAAGTCTATAAACAGCAAATCTCAGAATATGGATAAATTCCTATACCAAAACTACTGAAGAAATTTGTAAGAAAGGAGCTCTAAAAGCAACCTACTGAATACTCTCTGTCCTTTAACATGTCTCTTTTATGAATAAAAACAGTTTTTGGGGGGCAGGGTTTCAAGACAGGGTTTCTCTGTATAACAGCACTGGCTGTCATGGAACTCAATCTTTAGATCAGGCTGGCCTTGAACTCAAAGATCTGCCTGCCTCTGCCGCCCAAGTGTTAGAATTAAAGGGAGGAACCACCACCACATGGTGAAAATTTTTACTTTTAAAAGGCCCACCAACAAATAATTTTAAAATGTAGACTGGTGTGATGCAAACAACTGTATTCCAAGTATTTATGGGTAGACAGGAGAGTGAAGAAGTTCAAGGCCATTCTGAGCTACAGGAGATTGTCTCAAAAAAATTAAATAAGTAAATAAAGGGCTAGAGAAACGGCTTAGCAGTTAAGGGCACTGGCTAAGCTTCCAGAGGACCTAGGTTTGATTCCCAGCACCCACACAGTAATTCACAACCATCTGTAATTACTGATCTAGGGAATATGACTCCTTCCGCCCTCCACAAGCACTGCACACACGTGGTGCACAAACATACATTCCAATTGCTGCAGGTTGTCCTCTGAACAAGACACATGTGCTAAGACACACACACACACACACACACATATATACTGTACGTTTTAGTTTTTGCTATTATTTTAAGCGTGTAAGTGTAATGTCTACATGTGTATTTGTGTAGCATTTGCATGTAGTGGCCCTAGAAGTCAAAAGAGGACACTAGATCCCCTGGAACTGGAGTTGAAGATGGTTGTGAGCTGCCATATGGGTGCTGGTAATTGAACACGGGTCCTATGTAAGAACAAGTACTCTAAGCTACTAAACCATCTCTCCACTCCCATATAGCATCCTTTTTTAATTTGAACCTGGGGCCTGGTGGATGCTAGTTAGCTACATGTTCTACCATTGGTTCATACTTGTAGCCCAGTAGTATCCTTTGATACAAAAAAAGTTTTCAACTTTGATGTAGCCCACACAGTTTATGTTATTTTTTCCTCCTATAACCTGTTTTCTTGGTGTCATACCTAAGAAATTGTCAAATTCAGGCCTTAAAGCTTTTCTCATAGGCTTTTTTTTTTTAATTTTATAGTTTTACCTCTTAAATCTTTATATTTAAACATTCAAATTCAAGTCATTTTTTAAAATGTATTTATTCTTATTTTATGTGTATGGGTGTTTTGCCTGCATCTATGTCTGTGCACCACATGCATACCTGGTGCCTGCATATAACAGAAGGGGGCATCAGATACCTTGGGATTAAAGTTACATATGGTTGTGAGTCATCATGTAGGTGCTGGGACTGAACCTGCATCCTCTCTAAGAGCATACAATGCTTTTAACCACTGAGCCATCTCTCAACACCCATAAATGGTTTTCTGGTTGTGTTTTGTTTTCTGTTTTTTAAAGAAAGAAGTAATAGGGTGGTGGCGCACACCTTTAATCTCAGCACTTGTGAGGCAGAGGCAGGTGGATCTCTGTTGAGTTTGAGGCCAGCCTGGTCTACAGAGCAAGTTCCAGGACAGGCTCCAAAACTACACATAGAAACCCTGTCTCAAAGAAAAAAAGAAAGAGAGAGAGAGAGAGAGAGAGAGAAGAAAGAACGAAGAAAAGAAACAATATACTGCCTGATTTTTTTTAATAAACAAGTAGGTACACATAGGTACAGCAGCTTATTTTTTAGTCTATCAATTTACATAATAAGCAGCATCATGTATCTAAACAGTCAAAAAACCAAAAAACTACCACACCACAAACTTGTAAGTAATGCATTGCACCATTCCACTACAGTGATCACAATGTGACTAAGCACATTTTAGTTTATAATAATTAAAATTAAAATCTAGTGAGTAGGGAAAAGTATGTGTGGAGATGTTATGGCCAAATCAAAATGGGTCTTTTGTTCATAAAGTGCCAAGTTGATCACCATGAAAACTGGTAAAAAGTACCTGGGAGTTAATTACAACATTCACTTTTACTCTTTTTAATATATTTAAATTTTTCTTTTCTTGATTTTTAAAACAGAGTTTCACTATGTAAACCTGGCTAACTTGGAACTTACTATGTATACCAGACTGGATTAGAACACACAAGCTTCTACCTGTTGCTGCCATCCAAGTGCTTGGATTAAAGGTGTGCAACAGTACATCTGGCTTAAAATTTTCTTTTTTTTTAAATTCATTCATTTATTCATTCACAATTACATTATTGAGTGAGTATACAGTGAAAGAGGGCATATGGATCAAGAGGAAGGGACGTGGCATAGACCACTACTTGGTGACCATTGCCATTTGACAAAGTTTCATTTCAACATTGCAGACCACACTTTTCCAGTACCTTTTTACTTTCATTCCTAACAGTTGTGGATATCAATGCCTTTCTTTTGAGAAATTTTGTGTGGGCTTTGGTAGAGGATAAAAACGTGTATAATGGTAGCCTGGGATCTCTAAACAAAATAATGCTTTGGGGGGGGGGAATAAAATCCCAACACCAGGGGACCAGGAATTCCACTGTGCCTTCCTTAGGACACCAAGAATAGAAATGTTAGAGATTTACTAGACACACCTGATGGCCAGGATGAAATGCCTACCATTCAGATGCAGAGGAGCCCAAGGGAGCCTGAGCCCATTAAAGGCAAGAATTCAGTTAATTAATAAATACAGAGAAATCAGAATGGTACATTATCCTAGGAGAAGACTGAGATGCTAGAACCTTCCCTTTTGGGTGAGACAGGAGGAGAGATGGATAAAGGACAAGAGGCATAGAACTGTTTCTGGATAGGAGACTTCTTTGGAAAGTGATTTAAAAAAAAAAACACTTTAAAACTGGTTGTGGTGGGCAGTTAAGATCACTAGCTACTCTTATAAAGAACATGGGTTACAACCATTCATGACTACAGTTCAGGGGATCCCATGCCCTCTCCTAGTATGCAGGTACCAGGTATGCACGTGGTGTGCAGACATAAATGCAGGTAAAATACCCATAAACATAAAATAAAACTGGTTGTGGTAAGCTGGTATAGTATTTGCCTTGAACCCCAATACTCTGGGAAGCTGAGGCAAGAGGATCCCCACAAATTTGAGGATAGCTGGAGCTACATAATGAGTTCAATACCAACCTGGAATGGTAAGACAATCTCAAAACAAGAAGAAGTTTTGCAATTAAAAACAAAAAAGGAGTAAACTTATAAAAACACTAGACTAGGATACAGGCAGTACTTGAGTTACTGCCCAGCCCACTGGCTATCTTATGCACTTGATAAACTATGCTAAGACAAACAACAACCCCCCCCCAAAAAAAACCCAAACAATGTAATAGTGTTAGCTGAGATGAAGACTGAACCACTGTAGATAGCACTACTTCCTGGCTGGAGTCCTAGACTGTGTAAGTGGAGAAAAGGAACTAAGTAGCAGTATTGCATTCATTCCTCTTTACTTCCTGACTGTGGACGGGATGACCTGATGCTTCAAGTTCCTCCAGTCTTCAATTCCCCATCAGAATGGAATTATAAGCCAAAACTTGAATTATGAGCCAAAAACAATACTTTTGACCCTTAAATTGATGTCAGGGTATTTTTTTTTTTTTTTCACAGCAATAGGAAAAGAAATTGTTAGTTTATACATTTTTAGAAATATCCACAATGAGAAATGTTATTGTAAGTTTTTTGTTGTTTATTTTTGAGACAGTCTCACTATGAAGCTCTGGCTGTCCTGGAACTCACTATGTTCACCCAGGTAGCCTCAAACTCACAGATATCTGCCTGTCTCTACTTCCCAAAACCTGGAATTAAAGTTGTATGCCACCATGTCTGGCTTTAAGTATCATAAAAGTTTTCTAGTTTTGTTTTATTTTATATGTTTAACATTCAAGTAGTTTAATTTTGTAATGCTTTATTTTATGTGATATTTTATTTTCTTTTATGTGTCTATGATGTATAGGTATGTGGGTACACATACTACAGCAAGCATGTGAAGGTCAGAGAACAACTTTGTAGAGTCAGTTCTCTACATCCACCTTTTTTCTTAAAGATTCATTTTTGTTTTATGTATATGAATGTTTCACCTGTATACATTATCTGTATACCACATGAATACAGTTCTCACAAAGGCCAGAAGAGGGCATCAGTTGTGACCCACCATGTGGCTGCTAGAAATTGAACTCATGTAAGTCTGGAAAAGCAGAAACGTTTTTTGGTTTTTGTTTGTTTGTTTTTCTGAGACACAGTTTCTCTGTGTAGCCCTTAATGTCCTGGGACTCACTCTGTAGACCAGACTTGGCTTGAACTCACTGATCTGCCTGCCTCTATCTCCTGAGTACAGGGATTATAGGTATGAGCCATCACTACCCATCAAGCAGAAAATATTCTTAACCATTGATCCATCTCACTAGCCTTTCTCCTTCTACCTTAATGTGGGTTCTGGGAGTCAAGTTCAAGTCACTACACTTGTGCAGAAAATGTCTTTTCCCACTAAACCATCTCAGTGGCATGATATTATTATTCTTAAAACACTAAATTTGAGCTTAATATTTTCAAGTACTCTTTTTCTCTTACATTAGAAGAAAGCTCAGTGAAGTAGATTCTGGCCTTTCTGCATGTATTAAAATCATATTAACATGTCTTGTGTACCTAAAGAGTACTTAATGAATATTATTGGAAAGTCTACACTAGAATGCAGATCAGAAAAATCATATCAACTCTTAAGTCTATGTAGTATCCAAGGAAGATACATGGCAGTTCCTGGAAGAACTAGAGGTCTTGATATTACTAGCTGGGTAAAATCAGAAAATGCCATAGTTCTAAAACACAGGAAAAGAGAACTCTTCTCAGCCTTCCCCATTTCCTGCTAGCTTGTTCTCAGAGACCTATGAACCACTTCTTTACACTACATTCTGGAGAGCCCACAAGCCTTTTAAGGAAGAAATCACTCTCTGACAGATAATTCTGACCCCATCTCCATTCTGGCCAGAAAGGAAACAAAACAAACAACAACAACAAAAAACAAACAAAAACCCACAAAAAAACAAAACAAAAAACAAAAACAAAAACAAAACCTAGCCTTTCTCCTGAAAGTTGTAAGAGGAAAGTTAGAAGTTTTATTGTACCTAAGTATGATAGTGATGCTGTACAGAACACTAGCCCGCCTTTGATCTTGATTCTCTGGCTTTCAGTTTTCTTATGTCCCCATGACTGGTCACATTTTTACCTGTTTGGTTAAGTGGCTGCCAAGCCACATTCTGTGACCTCCATTCAGAACAGCCAGTTGGAGAGGCCTGAAGACTGGCTTGGTAGAGTGACTCCAATTCAGAGGTCTCCTGCTCTGTGTCTTGGTTCCAGTGTGGATGCAAAAGGATGTGATTTCTTTCTGGATAGGTTACACATTTATGGGAGTCATGGGAGGAGGACTTGACTCCCGGCCCAGGGCCCCTGTGTGTAACCTGAGAATCACAGAGCCTTGTGACATTTACCCAGGAATCCAAAGGCAAAGATGTTCCCAAGTTGACTCTGCTATGCAGCTCCTGAGGCCTAGTCTCTGTCACTTGGGGTAGCTTTCCTTGGTATATATTTGGCTCAGCCAACCTGGGCTGTCCTCTTCCAGTGGTTTTCCCATTGGGAAGCCCAGAGTCCACAGCAAGAGGATTATCAGCAGGACCTTCCCAAGAGGGCAGTCTTTCCCTGCCATCTATTGACGGTTGCGGTTTTACCCAGCAACAATGGTCTTTCCCTGAACCCTGGAGTAATGGAGGTATAAAGTCAGAAGAAGAGTTCTTCCTTAGACCATTTGGCAAATTTCGATCCTGGGAACCTGTAACATCGCTCATGGAGGTATTCTGCATCTTCTGGAACTGCTCTGCCAATGAACGGACAAGTCCTTTTGTACTGGGGAACTCTGGCCTATAAGGCTCCTCACTGCCTCTGACCACTTTTGAAGTCAATGAAGTTTGGAGTCTTTGGGTTTGAAGATGTTGGTTACGTTTCTGCATGGGATCAGTAGCATGGAGCTCAAGTGAAGTAGCAGTAGACATTATGGGGTGCTGGGCCCTGTAAGGAGGAACACTAGGCTGAGCTGATGAACCTGAAGGACTATTTAGGCTATGTATAACTTTCTCAGAAGTGGCTTCTGTTGAATGTGACCAAGGCATCACCATGGATATGTCAACAGGATTGTTCTTTTCTTCGAACAGCAGATCTTGAACTATGTCCCTTCCTTCCTGTGGTGGGAACATGCTGCAGGTGCTATTTTCCTCCCTGTGTACTTGTAACTTATCTTTAAGGGCATCCAATGGCAGACATTCATACTGAGAATTCATCTCAACTCTACCTGTTGTTTTAGGTAAATCCTGCCTGTGGAATACAGAGGGATTAATTCTGTCCACTTCAAATGATGTCAGAAGCTTCAGAGATCTGCTAGGGGAATTGTGTTGTGAACCATATAAAACAGGTGACTCTGAGGTGAGTGATGAGTGTGACTCATGGCAGGAAGCAGGTGAGTGGAAGAAAGAAGAACTGGCCCCAAACTCTGTATCCTTGCAGGATTCCAGCTGTGCCTCCTGGCTTAACAATACTTGGAGCGGTATAGGCTGCTCACTGAAACAAATGGAGAGAACCAGTCAAAAGGTGCCTTGACTAACTATAATACTTTCAAAAAGAACTATTCATTCCATTCCATTTACAGCTATTCATAGATATCATGAAGAGAAAGACAAACACAAACAAAGCCAATAGTTCACAGGTTCACAAAAGAAAAAGGTAATATAATTATCTAGTCAATGTCATCACCAATTTTGTATATGTGGTACTAAGTACAGTCTTTGACAATATTCTTCACTACCTGTGAAGTCTCATTCCAATCACATTCTACTTGCAAATTTAAAAATATAAAAATTGCTTCTTCTCCCATGCAGATGACATAGAAGGGAAAGGCTAAAAATCACTCATACCATACCAAAAAAAAAAAAAAAAAAATCCCAGCTGCTGTACAAGGAAGGACGTGCTCCTCTAGGGTCCTATGCAATAGATCAGTAAAAAAGTGAAAAGGATGTTATTACTACAGAATACTAGGTGATTTGCATCCCTGGAGTATACAGAAATCAATTATGTGCTTATCCATTGTATTCCTCACTTAGATGCTTCCTCACAGTGATAAACCAGGACTCTCTTCACACTAAGAACTGGGAACCAGGACAAACTGCATTTAGTTGCTTCTTGCTGTTTTCTATTTCAGACCAAAACACATGTAGTCTAATAGGAAACTTCAACCTTTCCAACTTCAGATTATCAGATCAAGATTATCTGAAAATCCAAAACTACAATGCTTCAGACTCCCAACTGTTTTGAGCACAAATACAATAATGAAGCAAGTTTGGACCCTGGAGCATCTCAGACTTCAGGTTGAAACCTGAAGGGCTGAAAGTATTCAGCCTATCTATGTGAGTGTTCAAAATCTGAAAGAAAAAAAAAAAAACTGAAATCTGAGCTAGGCAGCTAACCCCAAAACTTAAGAACCAGAGGCAGAAGGATCATAGTAGGCTTGAGACCAACACAGTCTGCCTAGGAAGTTCCAGACCAGCTAAAGCTACAAAGAAAAACCTTATTTCAAAAAATGTAGAGAAAAAGGTAGAGGGAGGTAAGAGAAAGAGGGAAAGGGAGAGAGAGAGAAAGACAGGCAGAGAGATAAAAAGACAGAGATAGAATAGAAAGCTAGAGAGAAAGAAAAAGAACAGAGACAGAGAAAGGCAGAGAGACAGAAAAATGAAAGAGACATAAAGACAGAGACAGACACTGACTTCTGGTCTCAAGCCATTTTAAATAAGAAATTCTCAAATGTTTGTAGAGTTTGTCACCCCATCACTCTTGTAACATGAATGTAAAACTCTAATCAAAAAATGAAAACCTGACCTAGCAATATTGCTCATTTAGTAGAGTAGTGGCCCAACTGGCAGGATACCTTGGGTTCAGACCACAGAACTAAAGAAACCAGGGTGGTGGCAAACAGGCCTGCAATACTAGCACTCCAGAAGCATCAGCAAGAAGATCGGAAGTTCAAGGTCTTTAAGCCCTTGTTAGCCTGGGCTATAAGATACTATCTCATAGGTAAGAAAAGGAAGAGGGAAAGAGGGAAAAATGGGGAAAGCACTAGCATCAAACAGATCTGGATCTAAATTCTATTTTTCTACCACTTACTAGCTATCCCTACAAGTTCTCTTACTTATAAAACATGCTAAGTAACAGCCCATCTCATCAGTTTATTGTAATAACAAAACAAAGTGCTTGGTTCTGATCTGAACCCGGGCAAATGCTCAAAAATGTTAACAACCATAATGCGGCTGATAGTCAAAAAACAAACAACCAAGGCAGAGGATGTGTACCTCACTGGTAGAGCACTTGCCTAGTAGTATATACAAACAAGTAGTACACACACACACACACACACACACACACACACACACCTGAAAAGTTATCTGCTTTTACTATATATACACTTTGAAAACTATTCAAATTTATTAATAGCCAAAGTTAATTTTTACTTAATTTGTTCTAAGAAAAGCCAAATTAAAACCTCTAAAATACGGGAACTACCCCAGTACCTCTTGGGACTTTTCCTAGTTCTGACTTTATGGAGGCAAACAAAGAAAATCTTTGTGTGTCTTCCCTATGGTTTAATCAAAGCAAGATAAACTGGTTATTTTCTCCGAGGGGATAGGAAACATTGAGATCCCAAAATAAATCAAATGGTTACTAGTACAATATAAAAGTCAGACCAGATCCCATAAGAACATAATAAATACAAATATAATAAATCATGTTGTTATACAAGTCCAAATTTGGATAACTTGTTATTTTGTATCTTTTTTGCATCTTTCTAGAAAGCATTAAGAAAAGAACCATGCATGCAACAAGCTTTTGTATCTCTGATCTGAAAGAAGAAAATCTTAGCACTGTATTTTTCTCTTTTCTGGTAATGGAGAAGGCAATAATTCATGCTATGGAGCACCCATGGTCACTTCCTCCCCTGATGTCCATAACTAATGTGGTTCTCAAGCACTACCTTGTCAGCTGAGGGAGGGCGCCCCCCTGTGGTGGGAGAGAGGCTGAGGGCTGCACCGGCTGCTGCGATGATGCTTGCTGCTGCATGCGATCCTGCAGGCTTCGTGCTTTTCGAATACTGATTTGCAACTTCTTATCGACTAGGGCTCTGCTGTGCGTGCTAGAGCTGGCACCATGCAGGGTAAGTCTTAGTTTAGCTAAAATGCAAAAGGAAATATAGCAGAAACAACACAAAATACAAACAAAAATAAAAGAACAAAAACTAAACCAAAACCAAGCAAAGATAGGCAGTAAAACAAAATATGCAGCAGGAATGCAAGGCATAGACTATGCATGCGCTGTCCAGGGTACAGAACTGGCTCTGGCTCTAGGGAACATTCATGGAAGCCATGGAGGCCAAACAAGTTAACTCAAATTTAAACAAACAAAACACTAAAGAAAATAAAACAAAACTTAAAAGGAACCAGGAAGATAAACTAGTGCTTGGAGATTGCCACTCTTATCTTTTGACTCTGGTCTCCACACTCTGCTCCCAACTCCCCCTGTATGATGGCCAACAGCAAAAAAATAAGATCCAAACCTGCATCTGTCTTTATAAAGCACAGCTTCTTATGGGTCATATTTAAAAGTAAGATACCAATTCTTAGCCTTAGTCCCTTGCTGTTACATTGTGGTACTGCATACCAGGAAGGCAGGGGAGAAGCAAAAATAATGGAATATTACAATGAAAAGTTACTGGCCTAGGAAATCAGAGCCAGTTTATTCAGTTTTCCTACTCATTAATAAATTACTACAGGAAGAATGGGCTAACCTCATATCTGAAGTCTAACTTTATTTTTTTTTGGTGGGGGGGTAGATACAACTGATGAATTCATCTGTGGCTTCCTGTTGAGGTTGTTCCAGTTAATGTCCACAAACCATAGTGACACCACCAGGTACATTTGAAATCTGAAGGGCAAAGATAACTAAGTGGCCTCAGCTTGGGAACACAAGAGACATTAAAAAACTGTTCATATGGCCATCTGCATGACAACACAATTACCTACTGTGGTGTTAGTCAAAAATGCCATAGCCATAGCAGTTGAGTTACTTACAGATAGCTTCGTTACAGAGAGCCAAAGCTGCAGTACAGTTTCCCTTTTGTTCCAGATGCAGTGACTCTTCAAATACTGAATTTGCCTCTTGTAAGGACCTTTCAAAGCCGTCACACCTCCCTGAAAGGGCCAGCACTTTTCATTTTTATTATAATTAATTCCAACTTCTCCTATGTACTGTTTCTTCTCTCTGGGACATACAGATCCTTATTATTAAGCCACCGATCTAACTGTCCTTTGCTATTAAGAGTTTTTAGAACAAGTAAGGCATCCATTTTTGCCTCAACTGAGACCTAACCAAGGCCAGGAAAAAGGAGGTATGTGACTGCCAAATCCACATTCCAACCCTAATACCTCCCAAGGAAAGAATAATTGTCCATAGTACCAACATGACTCTTATGCCTGGAACTGAACTGCTCTTCCACAAAATAACAGGACACACTTTGTCAACTACCATCAGAACACCCCAGACTTCTACTGCTGTAGTGGCAACCATGGTTTAACTATTTTATAGGAAGTCATCTATACCACTTCTTCATATAGCTACAATTCTCTCTTCATCATTCTGTCCTATCAATACATACACCTCTTGGGCAGAAATGATCTATAGTTTCTATTTCAATATATCAACCACAGCAGTTGAACTACATTTGTACAAGGACTGACCTTTCTGTAACAATGCAAAGTTTTTTCTTTCATCATGCCTCACTCACCAAGCATATCCCTAAAAAGTCACCTCCCATATAACAACCATGAGCTATTTCTCCCTACTCCCAAAATGCATGTCAGTCAAAGCAAGTACAAAAGTATAGTGATATCTTGTTTATACTCTAACAAATCAAGCTTGCCTGAAGATCAGAGGGCACAGCTAGCCACTAGTTAACCATAGAGGCCTGGATGTCTGTACAACAAGATATCACTGCACAAAACAGTAGTCCAAGAACATTGCCAGATAAAAGCACTAAGAAGTATGGTAAAGACAACTTCCATGATGGACCATCAAGTATCCTTACCTCCTATTCATCTATAACCATAAACTGGTGGTAAGTTATAATGTTATTCACCTACGATGGGATTTGACAATGAGCCCTCACAGGGTCACAGGGGCAAGAAAAATAAAATTTCAAGCCAAGTATGATGACATATGCCTATAATCCCCAGCACTCAGGAGGTAGAGGCAGGAAAATCCCTGGTCTACATAGCAAGGTGCCGGCCAGACATGGTTACATAATGAGACTCTGTCTCAAAAAATGAAAACAAGGGGCTGGAGAGATGGCTTGGTGGTTAAGAACACTAGCTAGTCTTACAGAGGTCCTGAGTTCAATTCCCAGCAAACCACATGATGGCTCACAACCACCTGTAATAAGACATGGTGCCCTCTTTTGGCATGCAGGAATACATGCAGACAGAACACAGTACATGTAATAAGTAAATAATCTTTTTTTAAAAAAAAAAATCAAAACAAAAATGAAACAGAATGAAGTCTGAGTCATTTCTCTTCATAATGTCACCCTTCCCCATCCTCAACTTACCTCCAGATGTACACGATAAGAAAGGCTCAGCTAAAACCTTAACTAATTCACTTCCTACTTCATTTAGCTTTTAGAAAGCAAGAAGGGCTGGGTGTGGTGGCACATGCCTTTAATCCCACCACTCAAGAGGCAGAGGCAGGCACATCTCTGTGAGTAAAAGGCCAGCCAGGTCTATAGAGCAAGTTTCAAGACAGCCAGGGCTACAAAGAGACCCTGTCTTGGGGGGTGGGGGAGTGGGGGAGAATGGAAGGAAAGAAAGAAAAAAAAAAGGAAAACTAGAAGGCAAGAAGACAGTGGAAAGTAGATTGGTTCTGAAAACCTTGGCAGTCAACTTACCCATCTCTAGAACTCTGGTTTCCCCCAGCCCTAGATCCTAAGTTCTTTCACTATAATTGGAATCAACTAAATTTAAACATCTTTACAATTAGAGGTGGTAGCTTGAAGACAAAAAGAGGGCCAGGCATGGAAGTACACATATAATTCCTTCAGAGGCCCAGGCGAGATCGGGAGACCATGTAAAAGTTCTCAATTTTACAAAGATCTAGGCAAACTATAGTTGATGAATCTGTATGCTAGATTTAAATCTTTATCATCTAAAATCTTAGCACTCCATACTTTACTCTTTTAAGTGAGGTTGCACCACAGCTTATAGAGAACCGACAGTGAAAACATAATCACTGGGATTCAACTTTAATGAACAGTTTAACTAAGAAAGTAGGGAAAAGACAAACAAAGAGAAAGATAACAAGCTCTCTCTTTTAGTAGCAACACAAACTTTAAATCAAGGAATGGTAGCACACAGATGTAATCTCAGCACTTGGAAGGAGGATCAGAACAACTGTGAGGCCAGCCTGATCTACAAAATGAGTTCTAGCCAGTCAAGGCTATAGAGTCATGAGAGCTGATCTTAAAAGAGAAGGGTTAAAAAAGCTGAGGCTGTTAATAAAGTGTTTGCCTTACAAGCAGGAGGACCCAAGTTTCACCCCAAAGCACACATGAAAACAGCCACTTACTTCCAGTAAGTGTCCATTTATTTTGTTTTGTTTTTTCTCTGTAGCTTTGGAACTCATTCTGTAGACCAGCCTGGCCTCAAACTCAGAGATCTGCCTGTCTCTAACTCCTGAGTGCTGGGATTTAAAGGCATGTGCTTGAGTGTTCATTTATAATCCAAGTACTGGAGAGGCAGAATAGGTGTGTCCTTGAGGTTCACTAGCCAACCAGATTAGACTACTTAATTAGGCTCCAGACTAAAGAACATATGCCCCCCAGGGGTAGACAACAACTAAGGTTGTCCTTTGGCCTCCACATGCACTCATGCATGTGTACCTGCACACATACAAACATATATACAAAGAATAACAAAAACCTGAAACTTCAAACTGATAAAACTTGAGTTCAAAATGAAAAATAGACTATCTAAACATAGAAACAGCTAAGAGGAATTGAAATTTTAAAGCTTTTTGTTGTTGTTTTTTGTTTGTTTGTTTGTTTGTTTGAGACAGGGTTTCTCTGCCATAGCTGTCCTGGAACTGGCTGGCATTGAATTCAGAGATTTGCCTGCCTGTCTCCTAAGTGCTGAAACTAAAGCTATGAGCCACTACACCAGGCTTTAAAGTGCATTTTGAAACAAACACAACAAATAACTTGAGAAATAGAAGTCAAAATTTGTTCTGAATCAAAAAGAAACTAGAAGGTAGGGAATGTAGCTCAGCAGCCTGGCATGTAAACCCCTGAGTTCAATCCCTAATATCACAAAAAAAAAAAAAAAAAAAAAGAAGAAGAAGAAGAAGAAAGAAAAAAGGGAGGGAGGGAGAATGGGAAGGAGGGAGAAAAAAAGGAAGAAAAAGATTAGAGGAAAAGCTATCCTCACTAAGATTACTTAGTTCAGAAAGCTACTTTAAGTATGGAAAGAACTGAGCAAAAGCAGCCAATCCAATGGCATTGGCTCCTAGACTTCATACCATTTTACCAGCAGAACCTATATAGAAAAGATACCTCAATCTGCTGAACTTCTATTTTGAAGACTAGTCTCAAGGCACAAAATGATATTATAAAACTAATTAGGTTTTGTGGATTTTGGTCAGGGTAATTAATATGAGGCAGTTGAGGAAGTTTATGTCTATGCACAGCATAAATAGATTTGGGAATGAGTTGTAATGGGATCAAAAATAAATCATGGTTGGGTGTGATGGTACACAGCTACCACCCAAGTTACTTGGGAGGCTAAGGAAGGATGATAGTTCAGGGCCTACCTGGACAACAAAGGGAGAGCCCCATTTGGAAAACAATCCAAACCAAAACTGAAAACAAAACTAGCAAATTATAGCTGGGAATACAGCTCAGACAGAGAGTCTACCTGGTATATGAGCCACTAAAAACATAACCACTCTCTCTTACTCTCTCAGTCAAGACTTGTTTTACTTACACATTTCACAGATGTTTAAGGAAACCATTTTTCCCTGAGTGATGTGCTATCTCTTAACAGTCAAGCTTTAAACTTTTTTTTTCTAATTTTATGTGTATTAAAGATATTTTGCCTGTGTATCTCATGTGTTCCTGTGGAGGTCAGAATTGGACATCAGAGGCTCTAAGACTGGAGTTACAGATGGTTGTGACCAACCATTTGGATGCTGAGAATCAAATCCAGGCCCTTTAGAGAAGCAGCCAGTGCTTTTAACCATGCTGAGAATCAAATCCAGGCCCTTTAGAGAAGCAGCCAGTGCTTTTAACCACTAAAACATCACTCCAGCCCCTAACCTTCAGGTTTTTAATGGATGCACCTAGAAGTGGTGCTATCACTCATGAATAAGCTTGTCCATTCATAACTTAGCTTTCATTATAGCAGTTGAACCAAGATAAAGATAAAATCAAATATTGCTAAACAGTAGAGAAGAAATTTCTAAGTGTGGATCTTACTTTTTGCCTTTTCTCTCTGTCCCCATTACTTACAGCCTAATTCTCACAATTACCCTGGTTCTGTAGTTCATCCAAGTCCATGTATCTACTGGGATGAGGGTTAAATCCTTTAGCAGCCTCTAATTCCTTCTCCCGTTTCTTTCGGAGTTCCTGTTCCTGGGCCCGCCTGGCCACTTCTTCTTGTAGTTCATCCAGTTCACTTTTAGAGGTGATCTCCCCACCTGAGATACAAGTGAAAACTACATTACAACATTTCCAGAATCAAATTGAATTACCTGTTGATTTTATGACTTCATGGTCACTAAGTCATTTTTCCTTTGTAACTCTTGCTTTCCAATTCATGCTTTGGAGTGTTTTCCCTATCAGTTTCAGAAAGTCATGGGCCATGAATATCAATGATCTTAACAACAGCATATATATTTTCAGTATTTCATTAACTGTAACAGCTTAACTCTTAACATTTCTTAAGTATTTTCAATATACTAAGAATAGTTTTGAAAGCATTTTTACATATATCTTTTCATTTAATCCTCTCATATAATAAGGTAGACACCCATGTTATTTAAAAAAGAAAAAATGAAAACTGAGACACAGAAAGGTAGCACAGAGCTGACTTCGAGTCAGGCAGGTTAAATCCAACTGGGGGCTGGTGGCATAGGCCTGTGATCCCAGCTACTACGGAGGGTGATGGGGAAGAAGTCCAAGGCCTACTTGGCTTATAGAGTAAGTTCAAAGCCAGCCAAGACAACTTAGTGAGACCCTGTCTCAAAAAGTATCCAGGTATGGTACTAATACCTGTAATACCAGCACTTGGGAGACGAAACAGAGGAACTGCCATGAATTCAAGACCAGCCTGAGTTATATATTAAATGTCAGGCCAGTACAGACTATCTAGAAAGAACCTAATCCAGAAAACAACAGCAAAGAGAAGCTGGGTGGCAGAGCACTTGCCTAACATGTATCACCCCCAAACCCCCAGGTTTAATTCCTGGCACAAAAAAAAAAGTAGTCATTTTTTTCTCCCTCTCTTCATTTCCACCATTTAAAAAAAAAAAAAAAAAAAAGTGTAAATTATCCATAGTGAAAACTCTTCTTTAAAGAGTTCATTGATGAGTCAAAATAGATTGGGAATGATATACAATGATAAATCTGTAAGACCCTAATTTGGGGGTTATGATGGGCCAATGGGAGAGCCCCGAGACACAAACACCAAAACCAGGAGATGCAACAAGCAAGAGGTGCTTATTGAACGAGTGCACTCGGGTGACAGCAATCTTGGGGAAAGCTGTACACCCCTCAAAGGGTTTAGGCTCTATTTATAGAGACAAACCGCAAATCAGTATACATGCATGGGGCACAAGGTGATTGATTACAAAGTATGATCCCATGTTTGAGAGATCACCCAGGTATGACCCGTTCTTATTCAAAGGATAAACCATAGAATGACTTGGAAAGTCCCCAGACTGTCCGTTGGCCAGGAGTGACCGAGATAGGGCTGTTCATCTGGAATCATTTGTTCCAGGGTTGGGGGCCTATTTCCTTGTTGTGGGCCAAGACCTGTGAGAAACTTCTTTCATACTCTGGCTTTCTCTTGGCTGTACATTTAGAGCCTTCAGTTATTCCACAAAGGTTTGATGATTCAGTAACTAGCCCTTTTTAACAATATAACCATTAGCCTCATCACCATAATAACCTTTCTTATTCTCATAATTCCTAATTTTTTCCTCCCATGTCAAAGTCCATTCTTTATGATTTTCTATATTCTGCTTGCAAGAATTTTTCTCCTATTCCTTTTCTACATCCTTGCTCTGCAAACTAAAATCTTTCAAATCAAGTAAAAGTGTGAGGTATAGAATAGTATGCATAGTGTGTTTTCATTTTTAATAGTGAGACCTGTATATATGTACAAAAACAACTATACATTTATATAAGCATATATACCACAGTGTTAACACTGGTTCCTTCAGTTTTAGGAGGTAAAAGGCAGGTTATTGAATTGTTGGACGAAATTTATTTCTGTGTTTTTTGGTTATGTGTATGGTGTAACTGTATATGGTATATCAGTGTGTCTTCACATGTGGATTGCATGTGCATATGTGAGTGAAAAAAATGTTATCATCACTTTGCTAAGTATCTTTTGCCTATTAAGAAAGAAGATTATATTTTATCCAGCTGGTCCAGAACTGAAGACTAACAGGAAAACCGTGAAACTCAGTTTTTTATTGTACTGAAAATGCGCCACCTATCAGAACAGAGTACAAGGGATAGTAGGCTTATCCATGTTCACAAGTTTCTTAAAGTAATGTTACTTGATATAAAATAAATTAAAATGTGAATATGCACAACATGTAACCTCATAAGGAAGCAGGCATGTCTGCTGCCAGTTCTCCACTTTAACTTATCCAGTATTCCAAGTACACCTTTCTCTATATAGTCTTCTGCCCGGCAAGTGTCAGCAAGAATTCCTAAGCAAGTTCACACCTTCTCATTACTGTTCCTGCATACTCCTTTCCACCGACCTCTAAGAACCGCCATCAATCAACTGGTTGGGTAATGAGACTATGATACAGTGGCAAGGGTGGAGTCAGTCTGAACTATTAATTTCATAGTTTTGCCCACATGTCTGTGTCGTATCTCAGTTCACAACACCAATCACTAAGAAATTCATTTCTCAAGACGTTGCCTATAACAAGGAAAGCCATAGGACTTATTATTCTAAAGAACAGAACTGTTTTTATCATCATGCACTATATTTCTGTCCCTCCTTCCACAAACCTTTACAGTGTTAAAACATTCATGTAAACTGTAGAAAACAAAAACTATAGAAACTGAGGAAAGCAGCTGAAAAGTCTCCACTTGGGGGTGGGTATATTTGGATGGGTGTGTATGTTCATTCTTGAAGGGCATTACATGTGTGTGGATGCATATGGAGGACAGAGGTCAAACATGAGTACTATCCTCAGCTGCCACCCATTTTGCTTTTTGAGACATGATCTCTCAGTAGGACCTGGGGACTTGGTGATTCAGCTTGACTGGCTGGGTGGCCAGTAACTTCTATGGATAAGCCTCCCCAGCATGCTGGGAATTGAAATCAGGTCTTCATGGTGCATAACAAGCACTTACCAACTGAGCTAGATCTCCAGCACACACATTTTGATGGAATTCTCAAACAACAACTGTCTTCTAGTTGAAGTATGCTCAACAGGCTGTTTTTCAAAGAAAACTGGTGGTTAAATCTAGTATCTTCCTGTTTACCTGAGAGAGGCTGAGTCTTTGTCCAGCCAGTCATGGATGCTGTGGAGTCTACCTCCAGGATGCTACTGCTGTGAGACTTCGGGATATGATGCCAAGAAGGGACAAACCCTGGTCTCTTTGTGCTTTGATCCCTTCAAAAGAGAATCCATAGTAGTACAAGTTTCAAACGGTGGCTTTTAACAACATTCCTAAGACTAAAATTTCAGAACAGAAAGCAACCATCATAAAAGCTTGGGAACCAAGGTCATGGAGCTCCTAAGGCTGAGGCAGGAAGATGAGGTAAGTCTAAAAATTCCAGGCCTGGGCAACAAGAATTCATCTCAGATCAAAAGAAAGAAAAGTGGGGGAAAGAGCTCTTGCACTGTACATTATATTGGTAAATTATTTATGCTTGTTAAAGGACTCTGGGGTGAGTAGTATGCATACCTTTAATCCCAGCACCCAGAAGGCAGAAACAAGTGGACCTCTGTGAGTTCAAAGCCAGCCTGGTCTATAAAGTGAGTTCCAGGCCAACCAAGACTACACAGTAAGAACCTGTCTACAACAGTGAGTTCCAGGCCAACCAAGACTACACAGTAAGAACCTGTCTGCAAAGCAAAGCAAAACAAAATAAAGAAAGAGAAAGGAGAGGGAGGGAAGGGACTCTGAGAGTGAGGAGGCTCTACCTTGTTTCCTTGAAAAGCCCTGTCCTGGAGTGGACAAGCTCACTAACTACTCAGCAAATAGAAACGAAAACAACAAGCTGCTCTAAGGGTGTTAAAACATTGTATCCAGGGGGCTGGAGAGATGGATCAGCAGTTAATAGCATTCCCAGCACCCCACATGGTGTTAACTCCATTTTCAGGGAATCTGGCACACTCACATAAGCATACATGTAGGCAAATACCAACACACATAAAGTGTGTGTGTATGTGTGTGTCCCCGTCCTTGGACTGGTAAGATGGCTCAGTGAGTAAAGATACTTGCTACCTGGCCTAGTGACCTGAGATCAAACCAAGGAACCCCCCAAAAAAAAACCCAGTGGTGGAAGAAAATTGACTTCCACAAGCTGTCCTCTAACAAATACATATACAAACTGTTTTTTTTTTAATTAACTACAATAGGAACTGGAATTAGAAGGTCATCCATGGAAAGGACAAAAGAAGATTGTCCAGCAGGATTCTCAGTGGGAAGTGGCACCCAGATGCCTCAGCTTCTCTAGCCAGCTTCTGCTGAATGACTATAAGCCCCAATTTGATGGTGTTAACTATTTGCTATCATTTGCTCTTTTACATGTAAAAGAGCAACTGGCTGCCTCAAAGGGCCTTCCCCAGTGAACTTCTGCTGAATGTTTCTGAGCCCCAAATTGATGATGTTACCTTGCATTCTCAACTGGGCTACTCTAGTCATCTCTGAATGTTTTAGTACATCAGGTTTATAATGTCTTGTTGTCTTTTGCTTGCTTGCTTAATAAACTCACTCATTCTGCTATATTACTTCTGAAACAGACATTTGTGTTTTTCTCTAGTTTCCTTCACATCTTGTGCATCTAATAGTATCTGGCTGAAGGGTGATGATGGCACACACCTTTAATTCCAGCATTCAAGAAGCAGAGGCAGGTGGATTGCTGTGAGTTCAAGGCCAGCTTGGTCTACAGAGTTCCAGGACACACAGAGAAACCCTGTCTCAAAAAAAAAAAAAAAAAAAAAAAAAAAAAAAACAAAAACAAAAACAAAAGTATCTAGCATCTAGTAGACATCTAAAATCTGTTACATGAATTAATAAACATATTCTCATATTATTATTTTCTTCCTTCTTACTGATGTCTCTGTTATTTGGGGCTGGCACAGCAGTGGGCCCAGGCTGGCATGGAAAAACCTTACTCATAACATAATGACACCTTCAACGTGGATAATAAGAAATTCCACTTAAAACTTAACAAAAGCTTTAAAAAATGGTTTTAGAAACAAAAGACCAAAGACAAGCAAGACTTCTTGGTATCAGCATTTTTCTCACTTGAACTCTGTTTTGCTAGAGACAAGCAGAAATTTGCGTGTCTCCTTTAAGGGAGGTTTCCTGATTAAGCATAAGCGTCAAAAAACCGCCAAGGCTTTGAGCTCTGCTAACAACTTAATGGTGTGTACGAGAGCTGGCAATGGCAGTGACCACATCTCCAAGCCAGCAAGATGCTGCTGGATGGCAGCGTGGACAAAGGCAGTGAGCACAGCTCTCGGTTCTGGCGGTACTGGCAGCCATCTTGGATAGATTGCAGCTAACACAGCTATAACTTTCATTTTAGCAATGTTGTTGTTTACCAGATAAAAGACTCGTGGCCTGAAAAAGATAAAGATTTACAGTAAAGACAGATTCAGATTAAGAAAAACCTCTAAAGGTTTACAGTTGTTTTAAAATATACGTAGGCTTGGGAGAGAAAAAGAATAAAATGGTTTTAAAAAAAGAGTAGCTGGGTGTGGTGGCCTTTAATTCCAGCACTCAGGAGACAGAGGCAAGCAGATCTCTGTGATTTCAAAGTAAACCTGGTATACAGGGTTAATTCCAGGACACATAAAAGTTACACAGAGAAACCCTGTCTCAAAAAATGAAAAAATAGAAGTAGAAGAAGTAGAGTAATAAAAAAGCCACATAAAGATGGAAAGCACAGAGAGAATCTGGATATTGTATGGTGTTACGTTGTCTTTGTATCGTTTGACTGCTGAGGAAATAACAACTGTTAAATGAAACGCTGCTGGATTAATTCAATTTATTTTAAAAATGCTTTGACTTCAAAATTTAAGTCTAAGGACAGGTTACTGGGGAAAAGGATTTCTATTTTTGTTTCCACAGAAAATGAAAAGCTCTGGATTCCTTCCAGACTAACATGGTTTGATCAAGCAAGATCCCCTGAAACAGCATCCCAGGTGATCTAACAGTCAAAACGGTTAGGAAAAAGCAGCCTTGCAAACTATAGCCAGGATTTCTGCATCTTCTTAGGATTCCCCCATGACAGCGCCCCCTACCAGCAGGAAGCAGTTTGGAAAGAACGACGCCCAAATTCCCAAATATTGTTTATAAATGTTTGTTTTCTTTTAAATGGGCTTGGTTATAAATGGTTAATGACCACAACCAATCTCTTTAAAGATAAAAAGGGGATTATAGTATACATATAAATACTTTGTTTTGGAACAGATTTTCTTTTATTGATACAAACTTAAGGTTAATTTTGTGAATGTATATTTCTCCTCTTGTTTAGGTATTGTGTTTATACAGCTCAGTTAGAAATGTAATGTATAATTTAGCACAGATTATAGATAGTTACCTATGATAGTCAAAACTTAGAGTTAAGTTAGTTAGGATTTCTAGATATACAGAGATGCAGTTGAGATAAATAGGCATTCTTCAAACCTTTCAAAGACCTACAGAATATGGCATTTAAAATGGTTTAGGGTTTTTCCTGACAGTGAGATATAACTGCTCCTGACAACACCACCTGCATCAGAAAGGAAGATGGACATTAACAAAACGCATTATGGAATTTGCTTTCAATATGGCAAGACTAGCCATTTGGGCAAGACAATGCTCTTGTCTAGACTGTTTAACTTTATGCTGTATAAACTAGACATGTAGGACCCACAGAAAACTGATTGGTTATTCAAGATGGACATTGCTACAGAGTTCCTGCTTCACGGAAGAGTCTGACAGCAGTCTACAGGACACAGAAAAAAGTGACTGACAAACTGCCAATATAGGTGGACAGTTTAAAATTTCCTGCTCTGCTGAGGAATCTGCCAGACATACTATGGCCTATAGGCTGAAGATGGAACTGTACAGAAGAACTTTGGGTGACTGACCAGGCAGTGAGTTGTCTCTGTCATTTCTAGAGTTTAAATTTTATCCTTCTGTGGTCTTTGATGGAGTTGAAGACAGATAGTTATAGTTTTTCTTAGTTAGGATTAAAGTTAAATTACATATAGGACTTTAGACTCACAAAGATAGGATAGATGATAAAATATTTTCTTTAAATCTTGCTAAATGTTAATAGACTGAACATTGTTAACTATGGTTCTTAATTTGATAACTGTTATTTTGCTATGTTAAGGTTAAAACCCTTCTTTTAGCTGGACAAAGCAGCCTTACAGACTACAGCCAGGATTTCTGAATCTTCTTCGAATCCCCCATGACAGCGCCCCTTACCAGCAGGAAGTAGTTTGGAAAGAACAACGCCCAAATTCCCAAATATTGTCTATAAATGTTTGTTTTCATTTAAATGGACTTTGTTATATAAAATAAATTAAAAAAATAAAACCCTTCTTTTTATTTAGACAGAAAAGAGGAGATGATGGGAGATGTCATTCTGTATATACATTTCTCTTATTGGTTAATGAATAAAGCACTGTTGGCCAATAGGAAAGCAAGATAGGTGGGACTAGGAGACAAGGAGGATTCTGGAAGTAGTAGGGAAGAGTCAAGATGTAGAGACTAGAGAGAACAGAGGTCCAGGCCCTCTCTCCAGTAAGATGAGACCACGTGGAAATACTTAGATTAATAGAAATGGGCTAATATTTAAGACAGATCTAGCCGATAAGAAACTAGTAACAGGTCAACAGAATTATATCTAATACAGCATCTCTGTGTGCTATTTGGGACTGGCACGGCAGTGGGCCCAGGCCGGCAGGGAAAAACCTTACTCATAACAGGCAGAACTGGGAATCTTACTATGCTAGGCAAGTACTCTACCCACTGAGCTAAATTCAAGCCAAACATATTAAACCTTTGTAGCATTTTGTCATGTATAAAACTGAACAGGTCCAGTAGACAGGCAAGAACAGTAGGGAAGAATTAGGATACTACAAAACCCTTTCAAAGGAGGATAGAGTCATTCCTTCAAAATCAGCCAGAAGGCTAAGGATACTGCTTCTGATTAGGGGCAGAGAAATGTGTGGTGCACGCCTTTAATTCCAACAGAGACAGATGGATCTCTGAGTTCGAAGCCAGCCTGATCTACAGAGCAAGTTCCAGGACAGCCAGGGCTGCACAGAGAAACACTGTTTCAAAAAACCTAAACTAAAACAAAAACAAACAAAACAAATAAAAGTAATAATAATACTGCTTCCACAGCAACTACAACAACCAAAAAAAACAATATATGTAGAGCAAAATAACGCCTTCAGACAGGGTATAATGAGCTATACTAAAATGCCATTGTTATGTTATAGGCTTATTATTATCAATATTTCATAATTAGATCCCCAGGTAACCCAAAATGAAGAATAAATTACAAGTTTGATTTCGTCTCTGATTTTAAAATCAATGTTTTGATTCACTAATTCATCTTGTGCTGAAAAATGTTTACTAAACTATTTTTTATTTATGTGTATGTGTGAATGCATGTGTGTGGGTGCCTATAGAAGACAGAATATATCAGATACCCTAAAGCTACAGTTACCTGACAAGGGTACTAAGATACAAATTTGGGACCTTTGCAAAAGCAACAAGTACTTTTAATTGCTAAGTGATCTCTCTAGCCCCCTAAACCATTTTTTAAATAAAAAATGTAAGGTTGTAAATATTCACAATGTGTATGGTAGTATACTACAACATCATATCCAAGAGATTATGAACATTTCAAGTAGACAACACAATGCGTGTGGCACTCAGGCTGCCATGAGTAAAGCAGAAATTAGCACCCATTACCTCAGAGTGACTTGTTTTGTCTTTTTGTGACAAGAGCAGCTAAAAACCCATTCATTATGAATCCCTTTTTTTTTTTTCTTTTTTTCTTTTTTTTTTTTTTGGTTGAGGCAGGGTTTCTCTGTAGCTTTCAAGGCTGTCTAACTCACTCTACAGACCAGACTGGCCTCAAACTCACATAGGTCTGACTGCCTCTGCCTCCCGAGTGCTGGGATTAAAGGAATGTGCCACCACCACCCAGCCAAACTGTTCAATTTTAATAACCTACATTCATAGACTGGGCAGTGATGATGGTGCTTGCCTTTAATCCCAGCACTCAAGAGGCAGAGGCAGGTGTATCTCTGTGAGTTCGAGGCCAGCCTGGTCTACAGAGTGAATTTGAAGCTATCCAGGGCTATTACATAGAGAAACCCTGTCTCAAAAAACAAAACCTAAAGAAAAAAATTGAAAGACCTCTATTTGTGTTGTACATTAAATCTCTAGACTTGCTCATCTTACATGCCTGACAAATGAGGAACATTTTATAAATTGGCACCATTATCCTTGTTAGCATTCTTTGTATTGCTCCAACTTTATTATGTTTTGTTTAAGTATGTTCTAAATAAACATTACTGCATAGCTAATGCTTGAAATAAAAAGCTTCTGCCTTTACTCCTCCTCCCCACAGAGGGTGCTGTTGCTATAGAAAAGTAAACCTACCCCTTCACTCTCATAACTCATAGCTGAAAGCTCCAAGTAGGTAGCTCATATTGCTGCAAAGAATTATCGCTATTAGAAGACCAGACAATACCTGTAGACATTCAAGCTCTCAGGAGGGGCTGCATCCAAGCTGACAGGGCTGCTGCTGTTCCTCTCACTACTCTCATAACCAGATTCCATCCGCTGGATTAGGCGTGGATGCTGCTCTAAAAGATGAGCTCCTGGCCGGGCTGGGCCCCAGGGTTTATGCTGTGAGCTTGGTCCACCAGCTTTAATGTCATAAGAAGATGGCTTGCTTATTTCATCTGGTGTAAATTCTTTAGCTATTTCAAAAGACAAAAAATAGAGGAGGTAGATTTAGCACTTGCCTAAATGAAAATCTAACTAAACCCCTCCCTCTAGACATTATTCACTGAAGTCATATCTTCAAAAACACATGACATTGGAGTAAAGATGTTCCTTGCCAGCTATACCAGAAAAATCAGGATTTTTTTTTTTTTAATTTATTATATATACAGTGTTCTGCCTGCTTGCCAGAAGAGGGCACCAGATTTCATTATAGATGGCTGTGAGCCACTATGTGGCTGCTGGGAATTAACTCAGGACCTCTGAAAGAGCAGTCAGTACTCTTAACCTCTGAGCCATCTCTCCAGTCCCAAAACTCAGGATTTTTAAACACATAAATCAATTGCATTTGAAAGCCCATTTGTTCCCTCATTCTCTGCTCACCTGAATCTTCAGAAAAGGTCCTAAGCTGAGTGTAGCCATAATGCTTCCTTTTGTCCTTACTAAAAATGCTGTCAATATTCAGTGACTCTCGTTTGGGTCTCCATGTTGGACGGTACTTGCTGGAAGAACTGTATTTTGCCTCACTACTAGTACTCTCAGTTTCCCAGTCCCGAGAGTGTAAAGGCAAATTCCTTGGTGGTGTCTTGTCCTGCAGGCCTCCTGTCCTGCCTGCACAGGGAGATCCTGCATTGGTCTGAGAAGCCAAAGAAGGCCTGCTATGGATAATATTGCTGACTGTCTCTTTGAAATCCTTTAGCCTGCTGGTACTGCTGGATTTGGAAGCATTCCTAGGAGCCTGCTTCTCTTTCAGTGTTTCTCCTAAAATTCACAAAGAATGAAAGCAAAAAAGGTGTTTAAAATAGTCACAAATGTCCTTAAAGTTGGGAAAGTAAGGAAAATCCCTTTGGCAAAAACAAAAACAAAAACAAAAACAAAAGTTTAATGGAGGAAACAAAGGATTGCAGATGGCTTGCCTTCACTGTGGTACCCTGAGGCCTGTGACTCATCACCTTTCCTCCTAACACGGCCAGAGTTCCTCTTGCGTTCTACCAGGGACCCTTTCTTCGATGTGTGCTTCTGATTACATTCACTATCAGTCAGGTGCCCTGAAAGAACAAGGAAATGGGAGCAAGCTGCTTTCTGCAACTGACCCCTATCCTCTTGAGATACCAGTCTCAATTTGGGACTTGTAGTAGTGCCACAAATTTATTATACACATGGATCAAAGACTGTAAGGGTCAGAACTATGTGATGTAAGAATCTCTCAGTAGGTAAGTGCAGTAGGTAAGTGCAGGTTAATAGTGCATTCCAAATCTACAATATATCCTGAACAATAAATCACCAGCCTCAAACCACACTCATCATCTTTCCTAGTGATCCAGAAGAATTAAAGATGTTGATTAACAACTTCTGTCTGCTCTTTAATGATGAGGAATCATATCTTTACAAGACCAATTAGGCACTGGTCTATCAGCCCTTAGTAATATTTCAAAGGCAAGAAAAAAAAAACAGTATTATCTAAAATTGTCATGAATTCACATATTTTTGTTCTCTCCCCACTTTGTTGTTGTTGTTGTTTGGGGTTTTTGGGGGGAGGGTTTCTCTAGAACTCATTCTGTAAACCAGGCTGGCCTTCAACTCAACATAGATCTGCCTGGCTCTGCCTCCCAAGTGCTGGGACTAACCATGTGCACCACCACACCTGGCACTTTCTTCATTTTTACAATGTGAGGTAAGTGGGTTTCATTTTGTTTAATTAAGACAGAGTCTTGTTAGGGTCTTGCTTTTATTTTATATAGTTCAGGCTGGTTTAATTCACAGAAATTCTCTTCTTCTTGACTATCGAGATTATAAGCATGCATTACATCTACCTCCACTCTCATAAACTGAAGACAAAAGAATTTGCCTTTATTTACTTGGCAACAGCTCTTATTATGTATAGCTTTAGGACTCAGTTCTAAATCTTCTGTAAATGTGAATTTTAAAAGGCATTTCAATTTTTATTAATTCTCATCTCCAACCTATGCTTTACTAAATCTGACTTCACATTCATAATTCATTATCAGTAATCATTGAAAAACCCCAAGGGAAATCAGTATTTTATGTAACTTTGCTGACATCATGTACATAATATGCAAATGTAAGAGCATGGTTTACATTATTAAAAAAAGGTCAGCTAAGCACCTGGAACCCAGAAGGTGAATTAAGCATGATGACGGGCTAAGAAAAACCACCCAGAACTCAAATGCATGGGAGCTAACATGTCATTCTGACATATTGGTATACAAAGAACAGTAATGCAATGTGATGTATATTATTCTCAACCAATTACTTCATGCAATCTTTTATTGCTTTTATTCATCTATTTGTTTATTTGGGCCCAAAAGAACGACTTACAAAAAGAGAAAATAACCTATAACAACTAAATGATACCAAGGTTAAATCAGTAGGGATTCTATTGACGCTAAACATATATATTATTCCCACACAGGAGTGGCTTCTCTCTGACTCATAATTCCAGAAAGATGGCCTTTAAAAAACAATTGCACCTATACCATCTACACAACACTTTTCAAGAGAAATCCAATGAGTCTGACCAAACTTCTAGGTCCAACCACCAATGTATAAAAACAGGATGCAGCTGGGCAGTGATGGTGTATACCTTTAATCCCAGCACTCGGGAGGAGAAGGAAGAGGATCTCTGTGAGTTCCAGGCCAGTCTGGTTTATAGAACAAGTACCAGGACAGCCAGGGATACACAAAGAAACCCTGTCTCTAAAACCAAAAGGGCATGGTGCACACACGCAAATGCAGGTAAAATACTCAAGGTAATAAGTCTTTAAAAAAATTAAGAAATAACCTAAAAGACCCATCACAATGTTGGGATTTCATTTTGAGCAAAACACACAAACCAGTAAAGACGACACTCACAATAGCAAAGCTCTCTCTCATGGTGCTCAGCAGTTAAAGCAGAATTACTGTCCTTCTCTTTTGTTCCCATTCAGGACTCAAACACAGAGCCTCGTACATGTTCAACACACACTGCTCATTGAACTACATCCTACTCCTTTATTACTATTTTTAATGATTTTTGTTTTTGTAATATTTACTAAAGTATCTATGGAAGAAGTAATATAATGTCTTGAATTTGCTTCAAAATAATTGAAGAATAAGGGACATCAGTAAAATTACACTGGTCTTGGGTTATAGTTGCTGAAACTAGGTTATAAATATGCAAGTATGACAGTACTCTATGCTATATATTTACAACTATTTGAAATTCTCTATCTGTATTATGGGGGGAGATGGAGAAATGGCTAGTGGTTAATAGCAATGGCTCATATTCTAGAGGACTTGGGTTCAATTCCTAGCACCCATATGGCAGCTCACAACTGTCTGTAACTCCAGTTCCAGGGGATTCAAGGACCTCTTTTGGTCTCTATGGGCACCAGGCACACACATGGTGCACAAATATCCATGTAGGCAAAATAGCCACATATATAAAAACAATTAATTTTTTTTAAAAAGGAAAAAAATGTTAATGAAGAGAATAAAGCATTATTCTAAAGCCATGAGCTTTACTAATCCACAAACTCCTTAAGCATTTGAATAGTATTTCATGCCTTAGCTGTTCTATTTCTAATAACTTTTCATCTCAGTAGTCATGCGCCAGTCTTCCTTCTGCACCCTGTAATGACATCTTCTACTAATACAAGCACAGATTTAAAAACAATTCAAGAATTCTCTATATAGAATGTACAATAATAAGCAGGCCATCCTTTCTTTCTTTGCACCTCTGTCCTTCAGAAACCTAGTGTGAAGATCAGTAGGTATTCCCACTCATAAATATACCTTCTTTTGAAGCTTTCACTTGAAACCATGGCATGAAACATGACAGGAAGAAGACAAGGCAAAGAGGGTTTAATGAGATCAAAAGGATATCAGGACAAAGCAGACTTAAGAAAAATTACATTGACAACCAATCATATCATATATGCAATGGAGCATGAATGTTCATTCAGAACTATCTTGTTTCTTTGTATCCTACTCAATTACCCAAATTCTGCACTTTCCTGCCTTGCAAACTAGTTACTACTTGCCCCAGTTTCTTTTTCTTGGGATACTTTCTATGCAGGAATTGAGTCAGGCAAGCAGGGTCCTATGTTAAGTCCCTACCTGTGTCTCGACTGCTCTGAGACATGGAATCATTCTCCACATTATAGATGACTGTCCCCTGAGAATCAGAAGAGAAGTGACTGACCACAGACTCATGGTGAGAATGTTTGTAGGGATAGCTCTCCGTTGAGGAATCTGTTCGAGTGTCACTTGAGATGGAAGGCTCCCTTCCTGAAGGAAGGAGACACAGAGGGAAAAAAGTAAGGAAAGAGAGAACAGTGATAGAGGTGAGGAAAGGAGATGGACGAAACAATGACCCATAAGGCAAGAACTTCCTAGAAGGAAGGGTGAGAGGAATACACCATAGAGCCATTCTTCCCAACACCCATCTTCCAGGTAATCCAGACACACATACAGTTCCTCCCACCCCTGTCCCTACCTTGCTGAAGCCCTCACTTTGCCTGCCACTGTGAAAAACTGTGGGGTTTTTAGAAAACCTATGGGGGAAAGTGGAAGAAATGAAAAAGTTGTGAGACGTAAGATCTATATAGATGGAAAGCCCCAGGCCAACCTGTCACACATGCCAGTTGTTTACCTATCTTAGAGCTCTCTCCTATACTGTCACACCTGTCACACATGCCAGTTGTTCATCTATCTTAGAAGCTCTCTTGTATGTTGCTTTTAAAACTTGATGACACATTTTCAGTATCTTTGGGGAATTAGTGTGAATATGTACAAAAGAAGGCCTTTCTCTGAATCCTTAGCTAAGATAAACACAACAGACAAATGGGCACTTGACTGAAGGAAGAAATAAAGCAAGTCTGGGTGTGGGACAAAACAGAAGAGCAGTTGAACCTGGTATAAGCTCAGCACTCAGGAGGCTGAGGCAGGAGGATCACCATGAACTAGAGACCAGTCTGAGCTACATAGTGAGTTCCAGGCTGGTCTGTGCTATATAGTGAAGCTGTCTCAAAAAACCAAACCAAATAAAAACAAAACAGCAGGAAGAAGAAACACAGCAGACCTGACAGCAGACCAAACACAGCAACAAGCGGGAAAAGACTTTAAAGCAAGAATCTATACTAAAACTCAGTCCTGTATCTCTACAGAAATCAAGCCCAAACTAAGAGGTTATAGTTCAAATATTATCAGCCTTTGTGGGGTATCCTGGGATTCTATAGTAGTTGTAAGCTCAAAGTTATGTCTATAGGAAGGCATTATGTAATTCCAAACAGTTGGCTTAGACTGAAACAACTGATTCATACATTGAGGGCCATCACTTCTACATTTGGAATTTAAACAAAACTCTTTCACCTCTAAGGATTAGAACTGTAGTGATATAGTGTTTCTTAATAATTCACTTAAGCCAGGGACCAGCAAGATGGCTCGGTAGTTAGGACACTTCCTGCTCTTGCAGAGGACTTGGGGTTCAGTTTCCAACACCCACTTGGTAGACCATCCATAACTCCAGTTCCAGAGGATTCAAAACCTTCTTCTGGATTCTGTAGGCACCAGGCATAAACACAGTGCAACATGCACACAGGCAAAACATTCATACACATAAAATAAAATAAATACATATCTTTTTCAAAATTCACTTAAGCCACTGTAACACTGCTAGCAAGAATCAATACTGAAGAATCCCTTATAATTTTATTTTAGTATCTTGATACAAACACTTTTGATTTGGGGCCAGCTGATTTGGGGCAACACACTCTTGAAAGCTGAAGAAAACAAAGCTTGGTGCTAATCAGCTGGTATACAAGTTGGCATTTCTTTCTTAACAATGTAACAGACCTTCTTTCTCCTAGCTAGACTATGAGCTGAACTTGTAAGTACCAACCATCTGACTCTACAGGGTGGTGAGAGGGCTAGGCTGCTCACCTGAATCTTCACTATCGTAGCATGTCTTCGTGTATGACAGGAACTGAGCTTGGGGAGGCAGGTCCTGGATAGACACTGGGGTACCCTGGGGATCTGCATAAAGCAGCAGCAAGGGCTGATAATGCCCTTTGATGCATTTGGTTACCACATCCTTCCATTTTGGACCAATCTGAGCCAGAAACACCAGAATAATATGACAATTACCCTTCATATACACAATTCAAAAATCTTAGACCTAAATTCAATGACTTTCTATTAAACCCCCCTTTTTAAAGAAAGCATTAAAATACTATCAGAGAAAAGAAAGATAAATGAAAGATAAATGCAATTAGTTATATTTCTATGAACCATCAACTCAGTTTTGAAATATGCATAAAACCTCACAAAGGCCTATATGAGGGGTGTGAGTCGCTTGGTGATCAACTTCTTTTATTAGACATTAGGTTTAAGAGCTCACTTCAAACTTTCACTTCCACAGTTTTTTCCTAAATATTAAAATCACCCTAACAAAGCTGAAAGGCAAATAAAAACTCTCTTACAGAGTGTCTTAGAAGAAATGACATTTAATTTCAAACTACTTAGAATAGACAGTTTGAACCTCTCACCCACAGCCTTGTGATGGATTCAGCTCTGCTAGCACAGTAGAAGAGTAGCATAGTTGCCATAAAAACAACAACTAGACCAAACCCCTAGACTCATCCCTTCTCAAGCTTGAACCAGGCACAATCTTGAGTATAAGTTATGGCTTGCCAATAAGACAACTAGCTATTATGGTAGTTTACTCATAACAGACATTCAGTAAATTTAAATCGAGTTGACATTATTTTATTTAAAGCATAGTTTATGTTTTCACACATAAATCTTATTATTCTATAAGAATACTTTTCAGATAAAAAAAAAACCTAAAGTTCAAATAATTTGTTGACCCCCCAAAAAAAAGAATATGGGAATTTGACAAAGATTTTACTATTTCCCCCACCTTCTCTCCTCCAATTCTCTCCCAGACCTCTCCCCTCCCTGATCCTGCTGATTTTATAATGGTGGCTTCCTAACTGATGCAGACCTAACCATCTTATCCATAGTCTTCTTTAGACAAGACCAAGTTTCTTGTTCTAAGTATCACTATAGCCCCATATTTCATGTTTTTTTTTTTTTTTTAAGATTTACTTATTTATTATTTATACAGTATTCTGCTTGCATGTATACCTGCAGGCCAGAAGAGGGCACCCAATCTCACTACAGATGGTTGTGAGCTACCATATGGTTGCTGGGGATTGAACTCTGGACCTCTGGAAGAGCAGTCAGTGCTCTTAACCCCTGAGCCATCTCTCCAGCCCCCCATATTTCATGTTAACCTCTAATAAGTCATGACAGGGAAATGAGAATTGTAGAATTTGTGTTTGTTTGTTGTTTTTGTTTTGACAGAGTTCTCTTTGTAGCCCTGTCTGCCCTGGAACTTGATCTGGGGACCAGGCTGGCCTCAAACTCTGCCTGCCTCTGCTTCCCAAGACCTGGGATTAAAGGCATGAACCACTACCTCCCTGGGAAGAATAATTTTTAATAGCCTTGAAACAAATTATCACTATGGATAATGCCAGATTGAAACAACTCAGTGTTAACCATGTAATCTAATTAGCGGCATTACATGTCCCCATTCAAATCAACCATTTAATAATGATGATGATTTGTCAACTATAAAAACAGAACCATGTTGAATTTCCTGTTTACATCTATTATAGAATTTAAAACTAATGCTCTTACATTTAACAGATGAAGGCCAAGTTCAGTAGCTCTTACCTGTAATTTGGGAGGCTGGAGAAGGAGAACTTCTACAAGATCGAGGCCAGCCTGGACTACATTTCAACTTCCAGGCCAGCCTGAATTACAAACAGATCAAGACCCTGCTTCAGAAAAACAACCAACTGGAGAGATGATTCAGCAGTTAACACTGGTTAATGATCTCGTAGAGGACTACAGTTCAGTTCTCAGCACCCATGTCAGGTGACTCACAAACACCTGTAATTCCAGACCTGGGGTATCTGACACCTCTAGTCTCAGTGGGTACCTGTACTCACATGCATATACCCATATAAGTGGGCAGATACAAATGTGCATACAAAGACATAGACACAGTTTTAAAATAATCAAATTAGCCAGGCAATGGTGGCACATGCTTTTAATCACAGCACTCAGGAGACAGAGGCAGGCAGATCTCTGTGAGGTAAAGGCCAGCCTGGTCTACAAAGAGAGTTCCAGGACAGCCAAGGTTACACAAAGAAACCATATCCTGCTCCACCCCCCAAAAAAAGCCAACAAATAAGAAGAATTAAATCTTTTTTAAGAAAAAGAAAACAATCAATCCAATCACAAAGTATGTATCTTAACAACATTGTACAGAATCACCATTAAAAATTATTAAAATAAAAACTGAAGAAAAGTATATATTTTTTTAATTTCAGTCACCAAATACTTCAAGATCCTTGCATATTCCTACCTCTTTGACATGAGCATCATCAAAATACATCCATTTTCGGATCTTTGTTTGAAAAAAGAATGTAGAATAATGTTTGCCATAGTAACAGATCATTCCTACTAAGTATAGTTCAGACTGTTTGGCCCGTTCATCTGTCACTCTGAAAAACAGCTATGGGAAGAAAAAAAAAGGAAAAGGAAAGATTCATCATAGTCAACCATCTAACATAATCACTCAGCACATTTCTCTTCCTTCTCCCACACCCTAAACAAACTAAAATATTTTTGCTAGTCCAGATTATTTATCAGAAATTAACTGAAAAGGCACACACAGTAGCATGTGCCTATCATCCCAACACTGGGAGGCTGGGCTACTATGGTGAGTTCAATATTTTCTTTCTGAGGTAGAACAATTTCAAAACAAAACCATTCTCACATTACAAACTTTTTCATCATCTAGGTGCTCAGCTCTGTCTCAAGTGCTAAAAGGCATGCCAACACTTAATTAAGGAATTTTTGTTGTTGTTGTTGTTTTTGGTTTTGGTTTTGGTTTCTCTGTATTGCTTTGGAGACTGTCCTGGAAGTGGCTCTGTAGACCAGGCTGGCCTCGAACCTCTGTCTTCCAAGTGCTGGGATTAAAGGCGTGTGCCACCAACGACTGGCAAATTAAGGGATTCTGATCTAAAAATTTATTTAGTTGAGAATATAATCAAAATAAATAATTAAATCAAAATCAGGCATGATAGTACACATCTGTAACCCTTTATCCTTTACCTAAAAGATAAAGAGATAGAGGCAAGACGATTAAGAGCTAAAGAGCAAACTAGGCCCCATATTTCACTGTTGTCCCACTTGAAATATATGAGAGTCTGACTCAAAGATTTTTTTATTATTAAACCAGAAATAATGCAGAATATATAGACTACAAAACAAAGAAACAAGCAAACAAAAACCCCATTTTTAAGATCTTACTGTACACAATCTACTTCAGTTACATTCCTTGAGGAGACCCAAAGTGTGACTCCAGACAGTTCATTTATTTTCAAGCGTGGCTATTTAAAACAAAAACAGCCTCTCCTTAGTCAGATCCCAAACAGAAACCAGAACAAAGAAAACCAGACTTTCTGGTTCTCCTTGAACTGAAGGAAAACATAGTTGTCCCTACTTTAGGACACTGCTAAGAATGAGACCTACTCTTAAACTTGTTTCCCCACTCCCCAAAATAAAAACCCTAAAGCTACAAAAGTATCATCTAAGCTATTTTATGTCTGTCAAGTGCCAACCTCACAATGGCATTCTGACCTAGTAACAACTCAGCATTCCTCAGGAATCTTGTCAAGTAAATTTATTTATTTATTTATTTATTTATTTATTTATGCCAGGGAAAGCCATCACTTTCTGTCCATTCCTATAGTTCTCCAATCTCCAGAGAGAGCATGTAGTACTCTAATAATGTAAACAAGCTTCCAACAGATCAGACCCCATGCTAGTTCCCAGACTGTTACACTAACTTGCCCTCCTGCTATAACATAAACCCTTTAACTGGCAGGACTCTCCCACTATTTTCCCAATCTTCTCTGCTCCCACAGCCCTAGCAATTGCCAGTCTGCCTCTCTCCTAGCCTTTTCTCTCTGTCCTGGAGAGTAGCCAAAGCTGACTCCCCCAAAGCTTATCTACATAAATAAATAAATGCATACATACATACATACATACATACATACATACATACATACATAGCCTTCCCTCTCACAAGGGAGAGGACTTGGTGGTAGTTTCTCACTGTGTGGTGCCCTCACTGTGAATTTCCTGTTCTTGGACTCAGACCACCAACTCTTACCTCCTTCAGGTCCCAAAGTCAAGACAGCTTGTTCCTTTGACCTTACTATCTCCCATGGTTACCATTCTGGTGTAAACAAACAATGAACATCCCATAGAAACTGATTTCTTTATTTCTTTTTTTTTCACCAATATCTAAGTTTTGCCCATCCTGTCCCTCAAGACAAAAACTGTGCCATTTTTTTTTTCTAAAAGGGTTCTATCATCCTCACAAAAGTGGTATATGATCATGTGCATGATGAGGCTTATGAATCTGCAAGTATATCTGTCCAAAATGCTACATTGTCACATACAACATACAACTCTGTTTAGTGCTTGAACAATACAAAAATAAAGATAGTTAATACGTACATCACCCAGCTTAAGGCAGGTACCCAGACTGTGAATGACATCCTCTGCCAAGTCTGAATGGTCTGAGTCCCAAACCAATCCAATTGTGATAATCTGTGGTGCGTTCATCAATACACGACGGATCCGGATCCTCTCCCCACAGTTACTCTGAAATACATACACAACACAGCACTAGTTCAAACATTCCCACCTGCTCTGTGGCATTGCTACAAGCCAGAGTTCCTTTCACATCCTAAATTCCACATAGTTAACTCACTGGACAGTTCCGAAGGTCCCCCATGGTGCTGGCATTCTGAAGCAGTTCACCAAACATACTTGGAGAAGGTTTTTCTCGTTTTTCCAGCATACAAATAGCCTGGTTACTTCAAAATAGGGAAAGGAAGAAAGTACCAAATTATGACCAAATTCAAAAACAAAATCATTCATACAAACCTGAACTCACACATCATCTTCTTTTTCTTTCTTTAACACAGAGTCTTATTGTGAGTTCTCTCTGGCTGTCTTGGAACTTGCTATGTAGACCAGTCTGGCCTCCAACACATAGAGATCCATCAGCTTCTGATTAAAGGTGTAGTGTGTATGTGTGATTTTCATTTGCTGACTATACTAACTACAGACCCGTGTAACTAGCCTCAGTGTCCTACAAACACAGTTGAGTCTCTCTATTTGTCCCAAAATCCAAAGCTCACAGACTCTCCATTTCTCACCCCATTTTGCTAGCCATTAATAAGCCTAAGAATTCTGGGGTTTTCCAATATAGCACAAATTCAGCAATAAGTATATACGTTATTGGTGGCCTTCAGTTAAAACCCAATCAACTGAAGGAATGCCTATCAGTACAAAAAAGAATTCCTTAAGAATGGGCTGGGACAGGCAGTGGTATCACACACCTTTAATCCCAGCACTTGGGAGGCAGAGGCAGGTGGATCTCTGTCTGGTTACAAGAGCTAGTTCCAGGACAGACTCCAAAGCTACACAGAGAAACCCTGTCTCAGGGGGAAAAAAAAAATGGGTTGGAAATATGTCTTGAGTAGCAGTTAAGAACAATGGCTGCTCTTCCAGAGGACCCTGGTTCAGTTACTGGCACCCACATGTCAGCTTATAGCTGTCTGTAACTCCAGTTCCAGGGGATCCAAAACTTTCCTCGACCTCTATAAGAACCAGACATGAGCATGATGCACAAACATACATGTTGGTAAAACATTAATACACATAAAATAAAAACAAATGAAACTTAAAAAAAAAAAAAAGAATTCCATAAAACTCACCACAGGGAAGTAGTAGAGATGTAGTGCACCATCTGGATGAAAGGCAGGGGATCAGAAGTAGCACCACAGCTAGTACACACACACTGCACCAGAGGGGAAAAGCAAAACTGAGTAGCCACAGCCATAAACTGTTTTCAACCCCATTTAACTCTACATCACCACATAGAATGTGTGTGTTTTTTTATATGCATAGAAGTGCTGTATCTGCACTACACCTGCACACCAGAAGAGGGCATCCGATCTCGTTATTTATAGATGTGGTTACTGGGAATTGAACTCAGGTCCTCTGGAAGAGCAGTCAATGCTCTTAACCTTTGAGTTATCTCTCCAGTCAGATAAAATGTCCTTAAAGAAAAAGTCTAAGACATGAGGACAGATAGGTTTACCTGCTCAAACAATGTCATTGCAAATTTCTGGTGAGAAATGCAGTGTGGAGCGGTACATATGTCCTCTTTGGTTTCATCCGCAATGTGGAAATGAATTCTCATCAGGAGGTTTTCCTGACAGGAAAAATACAAAAGCAATACCCTTAAAAGCCAAATGGACACAGAAACCTTCCTGGAAAGCAGGAATATCTCTAAATTTTTTAAAACTGTTTTTAAAGGAAGGAAGGAAGGGAGGGAGGGGGAAAAGAAAGAAGAAGAAAGAGAGGGGGGTAGACAGACACAGACAGACAGACAGACAGACAGACAGACAGACAGACAGACAGAGGAAATTAATGTAAGCCATAGGTCACTCAGATTTTACCAGTTTTACATTAACTGAGTTTGGATACAATTTCATCATATACATTCATGTAACCACTACCACAATCAAGACTCCACAAAGCTGTTCCATACTACCTCTTAACAGCCTTACCTATCTACTATAATCCTAACTCCAGCAACCACTAGCCTGCTCATTTTGCTCATTTTGTCATTTCAAGAATACTATATAAATGGTATCACATATAATAATCTTTTTTTTTTTTTTTTTTTTGGCAACAGGGTCTCCTGTATCCTAGGCTGGTTTGGAATTTACTATGTAGCACAGGATGGCCTCTTGTACTTCTGATACTTCTGCTTCCACCTCCTGAGTGCTGGGATTACAGGTGTGCATTGTTATGACTGATTTATACATTAGGGATCAGAATCAGGCTACAAACAATAGGCAAGTACTCTACCAACTGAACTACATCCTCAATCCTTACAGGTATTCATGCAGACAGAACACTGCATACACAATAAATAATGGCATCTCCCATCAGGCCTTGAACTCACAGAAATCTACATGTGTCTGCCTTCTAAATGCTGGGATTAAAGGCATGCACCACTACATTGAGCTTAACCTTTTAGTTCATTATTTATTCTGCCTCTGCATGGGAGGGAAGGGGTCACAGGACAACTTGTGGAAACCAGCTCCCTTCTTTCACCATATGGTCCTGAAGACCAAACTCATGTGCCACCAAGCCATCTCAATGACCTCTGTCTGCCTGTCTTTTCTTCTGAGGCAGGGTCTCACATAGTTCAGACAGGCCTCAAACTTGCTCTGCAGCCAAGGCTGGCTTTCAGTTCTAGTACAGTACCATAGAGACACAGGCAGGAGGATCACCAAATGTTTAAAGTCATCCTATTTGCATTGTGAGTTCCAGTCCTGTAAGGACTCCTGTCCACTGCCAGACCAAGTCTTAAAAAGAGTAAACAGAGTTAAACTCACTATGAAAATCAGCCAATGAGCAAAACTCCTCTGAACTGTTACTATTTATCTAACTTCAAAAGATTTTCTGTGGCACTCTGTGATGTCAGCACATGTATTTAGCACTTAGGAGGTGGGAGAACAAGGATTAAAGTCACTAGAGCAATGTAACTGTTTATAAAGAACATCACAGACTGTTTAATGTTGTTAGAAACAGAGACGTTCAAAATTTACGGTTCTCCAGAGTAGCATCATCAATACAGCATTACCTGGGCACTTATTAGAGCTAGCTATTCTTGGTCTTATGCCAGTCTATTGAATCAGAAGCTCTGGGAATACACTTGTACTTCAACATGCCTTTGTTCCCCTGAAAGTAAAAGTCACTGTTTTATGTAATGGCAAACATTACACTACCCAAAGCCTGAAGGAAAAAAATCATAATGCCACTAGGCAATTCACATTGTAGTAGTAGACTCTAGAACTCTAAGAAGGTTGAAAAAGTCCTAGTGCCAATGCAAAGACAAGGGCATAGTAAATGCCATCATAAAATACAGTCCTTGATGGAGATGAACAGCCCTACTCCTTATCAAAGAGGGCAAGAGGGAAGCACTTACAAAGCACTCTGCAGCATCATCCATAATTCCCAGCTGGAAGCGTTGCTCATCCTGAAAAGTCTTTGCCAGAGCACTTCGGAGAGTGTCAGAAGGAAGCACTTTCTCACTGCTACACTGAAACTGGTTAAAAATGCCCTGTAAGGGAAGAGGTTAGACAAGAGGAAAAGCACAATGCTGTTATCAAGCTTCTGTACATCCAAGGCTGTCATGCTATTGTTTCTATGACAACCTGGAAACAAGATACATTCAGCTAGTTATTTAAAGATGTAAAGACTAAAAATCAGAATAGGAGAATACCTCTGCAATAAATCTTGCATCTGAGTTTGATGCCTTCAAGGACTCATTAGGAGAGGCCATTGTCAAGACATAATGTAATACAGTTATAATACTTCCTGAGATGGAAAGGTAGATGTGTAGAAAGCTACGTGTAAATGGATTGGCAATTATTCTTTGAAAGGAATCCTCCCACTATGAAACTTTGCCCTCCTTCTAAATTTTTCAGCTAATACAAGACTGTCCAAACTGACAGAAAATACAGCAAGCCATTCATTGTGTCCATAATCCCAGCACCTGAGAAGCTGAGGCAAAAAAAAAAAAAAAAAAAAAAAAAGATCAAGAATGTGAGGTGTGGTGGCTGGCATACACTTTTAGACTTTTTCCCACTACACAAAGTTTTTCAGTAATATGATAACAACAATAACAAATCCTCTGTATCTTCTATTGTACTTCTATACTCAAAATATATTTAGACCCCATACTGCTCACCACCTCATCTATTGCCAATTCTTCTATTTACTGATTGATTGTAACTATTTCTTTTTTACTAGTTTTTAAGATTTAATTTTCATTATTTTAATTACACGTAAGTGTGAGTATGTTTCAAATGACCCTATTTAATAAAGTTGAGGAGTCTACCTAAGAGATGACATAGTGAAGGGAGTTGAGGACGTGGCTCAGTTGACAGAGTGTTTGCCTAGCATACAAAAAGCCCTGGGTTCAAGCCCCAGTACCATATAAAAACAAGACATGTTGCAATATGCCTGGAGCCAAACTGGTATCAAAATTCCCAAGACCCAGACATTGTAGCATGTCTATAATCCCAACACTCAAAAGAGTTTGGGGGTCAATCTAGGATACACTGCAAGATTCAGACTAACCTAGCAACACAGTAAAACCCTGAATCAAAAATCAAACAAGGGCCAGTCATAGTGACACACACCTTTAATCTCAAGCTCCAAAGCCAGAGACACAAGAAAACTCCATGAGTTTGAGGTCTGCTGGGCTACAGAAAGAGTTCCAGGACAGGCAGATCTACATAGTAAGACTTTGTCTTTAAAAAAAAAAAAAAAAAGAAAGAAAGAAAAAGAAAACTAAAGGTGTCAAGCAGTGGTGGCACACACCTTTAATCACAGCATTTGTGAGGTAGAGGCAGATGAATCTGTGAATTTGAGGCCAACCTGGTCTACAGAGGAGATTCCACGATAGCCAGGACTGTTTCACAGAGAGACCCTGTCTCAAAAAACCAAAAGGAAAAAGAAATAAACAACAATAAAATCCAAACAAGGGCTGGAGAGATGGCCAGTGGTTGAAAGCACTTGAAGCTCTTTCTTGAACCTGGGTTCAATTCTCACCACTCTTATGGTGGTGACTCATGACCATCTGTAACCACAGCTCCAAGGGATCCAACAGACAGGCACATGGTGCACCCACATGCATGTAATCAAAGCAGTTTATACAATAAGTAAAATAAACCTAAAATAAATTGTAATGAAATAAATAAAAACAAAACAAAACTGTAACAAAATTTCAACCCAGATATATGAATTTGAACAAGTTATTTAACTTCTCTAGATGTCAGTTTCTTTCTATTTTACACACACACACACACACACACACACACACACACACACACGTGTCAGTTGTACAATTTTAAGTCACTAAACAGTCCATCTGTCACTGTCCTATACTGAAGCAGTCTAAGTCGGATGCTTCTACTGAGCTAATGGTCTCTGAGACCAGAGCAGAAAGGAAGGAAGGTCTATTTTATTTTCTATTCTGCTATTCTCATTCAAGAAAGGCAGATTTTAGCCAAGCCTGGTGGTACACATTCTTAATCCCAGCACTCAGGAAGCAGAGGCAAGCAGATTTCTGTGAGTACTAGACCAGTTTGGTCTAGTGAGTTCCAGGTCACCCAGAGATACAAAGTAAAACATTGTCTCAAAAATAAATAAATTTTACAAAGAAAAAGGAAAGGGGAAAAAAAGAAAAGGAAAAGAAAAAAAGGAAAGCAGGTTTTTCATGACTTACAGTAATTAGGGTCTGGGCACAGAAAGCAAAGGTCTAAGGTCAGAGTTCTGTCTGCTACCACAGTGGAAAGCAACAACAGATCTGGCTCTTGTATTCAGTAGCATCAATGTCTGCATGCTGTATTCTTTTCTCATCTCTTAATTAATTACAGGCAGCTTTCCCCACCCACATTGAGGAACAGAATGTATTTCGAATGGCCTTTGACTGAATCCTTTATTTTTTCTTACTTTAATTAACATCAGCCTTGCTCTGTTATAGCTAGGAAGAACTGGATGAGCAGCCTAAGCCTTCCTAGCTTGTATCTGTGGAGCTGTAACTCTGCAAGAGGCTCAAGCACAAAGCCCCACTGTTAGGGCAGCAAACTAACCCCAGTGTGTCCCTCTCACATGAGCACAGGGCCTGGAACTGGCCTCCTCCTGTTCCCTTTTTCATCCTTCCCTCCCCCTCCCTTTCCCAGAGGGAGATCCTGTTCACACCAAAAAAAGCCAAGAACATTTAGTTCAGCAGTAAGAACAGGTGGCAGTACCAACAAGGAACAAAAACTGGTATTATTCCAATTGCTGGATTCTTTGGCAGGGAGAGAGAAAGGACAGGAAGAACTCAAACCCAGGAACCATCTTTCCTTCGGGTTCCTAACAATTCCATTTTGATAAGCCAAAAAAAAACACAATGCCTTTTAAGTTTCTGTCTACATGAAGAAACTAAAGGTCCTTTTCAGTCATGAAATAGTAAGTTACTTTGTATCTGCTATTTTCTTGGATGCTGTACAAAAGCAACAAGACTTTAATAACTAGAGGGTGCTTCCCTACCCAGCTCTCATGGATCAAGGAGACAATCCTGTCCTCGTGAGCACATAATCGTTTGGATTAGCAAAACACACGTAAATAAGACAGTGTTTTGGCATCTACAAATGCAGCTGCTCCTTAAAGTCTTTTTTTTCCCCTAAAACACATACCCTTGCTTTTAAGCGGAGAGCAGCTTTTTATTTTTTCTTTCAGTATATCCCAGCTTTAGATCTAAAATAATTCTTTTTGTTTTTGGATGCCTGGGCTCATTTCTTTCTTTCTCCTTATGACACTCAGTGGCTTCCTCTTGGGGACACTGGCCCCTCTTGGGGACAGGAGCCACCCACCTGCTTGGGGGAAGTGACACCTCAAACAAGGATGTTTGTGCCACAGATTCTCCCAGACTCTGGAGGGTAGTGGTAACAGGAGGCTGCATGTCACCATAGTGATACTGTAGCTAACCAGCAGATCTTCCTGAGTGATGCCACTGAAACAAGTGTCCTCAAGAGTTCTGGTGTTCTATGTGCCTCTCCTCTCCAGGGTGGCCTGGAGAAGGCCTCAACCCTTCCATTTTCATGTTCACCTTCCATTTCTCAGGAGGTCTCTGAAGGTGCCTGCTGCTTTTCTCAGTGTGGCAGTTTACCCCAATAACTGGCACACATGCCTCCTGAAGTGGTTCCTCAGCCCTGGAGTTCCAGAGTAAAGTCCAGCTTTAGAATTTGGGCAGGTGGGCTAACTCTTGCTGGGAGCCTCCAGAAAATGTTAATCCCACCGGTTGAGAATAAGACTCCTACCACAATATAAACCTAAATTTGAAGGAAGCTTTAATTAAATACTGGTCAGGTGGATGGACTGTAGCCTGGCCCATATCTAGTTTCCTAGAAAATGGCACTAAAATAGTTTTTAAGTATTAGAGACGGTAAGGTACAGGAAGAAAATGTGCTCACTAATTCTAATACTTTAAGGGCCCGAGGTGTTAGAATATCTTCCAGACAACAGCCCAACTTCCACCTCTCAGGGATGTCCAACAATACAGCCTGCAAAGGTGTCATATACCCGCCTGCCATTTGCTCAGTTCAGGATTCCAGTTCTGATCCATCCAGGCTTCCCAAATTTGTGTAGCTTTTGGGTTCTCATGATCATTCTTTTCCTGTATCTTCTGGAAATCAAAGAACCTAAATATAAACAATCTAGCCTATAAATATAAGCCTCTAGACAAGGGAGTTAGTCCTTGATGCTGGGAAAAACAATAACTTCCATTGATTTTGTGTGGTCAAAGAATGGTGAAAGTTTTCCTTTAAGACAGGGCAAGGTCATGTATATATTTAACTCTGTGGCACCCTAAATGCCAACAAACGATTTTTCACATTTTGTAATTTAAAAAAAAATCATGAATACATTTAGAGTAGACAGAATAGCATGACCAGCTTCCATGTGTCCATAATCCAACTCAACAATGACCAGTCTGTGGCTAGTTTAGTTCCCTTCATGTTGCTTGCCTATACATGTATCCTACTCAATATCATTTTGAGGCATATACATATTCCAGAACATAACTCTAAAAATCATGTTTAAAAAAATGCTTATACCTCTAAACAGGGTAATAATAATTCCTTAATATCATCAAATAACAATCTAGTTTAATAAAAATTATTTTGCAAGGGAGGGGGGAGTTCTTTTTGTTATAAACCCAAAATAACTTCCAACTCACTATATAACCAAGCTGGTCTCAAACTCACAGCAATGTCCTTCCTAAGCCTCCAAGGGCTGGAGTTGCAGGCATGTACCATCAGGCTCAAGTATAAAAACTATTTGTCCAACTTTAGGGGAAACACAAGAACAACTGTCTATTATCTCCCTGGGGATGCTCTCCCTTTATAACTAAGAAGAGCTACCTCCTAGACTTCTTAATTAGAAAAGCATCCACATATCCTTTAAATTGTTGACAATGTCTTATCTACCAGTGAGTTTAAGCCTTTATTTATATTCAATTAATATTTATATTAATATATATTAATTGAACTTACATTAATTCAATTACTATAAATATTCAATACTTTGGACTTTTGGTCTTAGAATGGAAAGGATAAACAGCATTAAGTTACCTATCACATTTAATCCCTTTGCCAGTGCAGACAGACATTTCCATACACACAAAGACAGAGGAAGAGAGTGGCAAAAACACCAAAACTTCAAGGTAATCAATACAGACAAAGATGGGCCAGAACACACCATTGCTTCTAGTGAGAAATCATAACTGATGTTGATATTCTATATAACACAATGGCCAATTTATTGATTTTACTATAACAAAAGCTGAGGGTCCTCACAAATAACCAACATTATTAGAATCAATACCATATCCACTTCTTGTGTTGAGGAAATTAAAGGATTCTTGTGGATATGCACAAAGATTCTCTGTCTATATTAAGTTTCAACTGTCATAAATTCTGGAAAGAAAAGAATCATGATTTCTATATTTTCTCTTGTAGTTAGACCCTATTTGATTAAAATGTGCAGTCTGAACTCAAATTTTTAAAAAGGATGAAGGATTCAGTTTAAATTATCCAAATTATCTCAATGGTAAAATCAGCTGAAGATAGTTAGAATAGTTAGCCTTGGAAGAATTAAGAAAGACTAATAAAAAAACAACACAATTATGCTCATATCCAAAGGCAATCAAAATCAGGAAACTAAACACAAGCATATAGTAACTAGAATAGACACAAAAATTTTCTCCCTCATGTGTAGACTTTTATGTACTAGCCAAGATTTGTAGGGAGCAAACTAGAAATCTAATTTCCTGCTTTAAGTAGTGTAGGATAATAGGTTTGCTCTCCGATACTGGCCATGAAGGATAATGAAAAAAACCTTTCTATTGCTATAGTCTAGAAAACAATGGGTTGATAATGAACAATGAATAATTTTTCAGATCACTTTATTCCTTGTGCTAATCTTTCAGTACTCAAAAGGAACAGCCACATGGTAAATTCAAAAGATACTAAAGGATTTCCCCCCCCTAAATCTCAAATTTGCCAGAGCTAAACAGTCTAACTGCTCTCTTAATGCATAAGTTTCTGGCATGTTACTTATAATACAAAACCTACTTCCTCCATCACCCCACACCACTAGGCACCATCTGCCAGCTTTTATACTATATTCTAGGATTCTTTTTTTTTTAATTATAATTGAAAAATTAAGTTTAATCAATCAAAGCAACATTCTTCTTTGCCTATAACAAAAGGTAATCTGTCCTATGTGCTAGCATTATAAAAGATCTAGTACAATCCCTGGAAGAAGAACAAAATCTTTGTCACATACTAAGTACAGAGGACAGATTTCTTCCCAGAACAGAGACAAATGAATATGCCAACACCAAAGTAAAGTTATACCCTGTGGACAGGGGGTGCAGGAGCAACCCAACATGATCAATAAGAATTCTGGGCTATGGGTGAAGACAATTTAGATCAGGAAAAGTCATTTAATCATAAAAGATGGGAATAAGTTGGGTTTTGAAAGGAAACAGCAATTGATACAACACAATCTTCTATTTGTTAAATCAGAGTTGACAGACATCAAGGTTTGAAGTAAGCAAAATGATACAGTGACACTATCAATCCTCTCCTTTTAACTAATTAATTTATTTGTATAAGCATTTCGCATGTGTGTGGGTACAAGTGTACCACAGCAGATGTGTGGAGGTCACCAGACAGCTTGCAAGAGTTGGTTATCTTTCCACCATGTAGGTCCTAGTGATTAAACTCCAATTATTCAGGTCTTCAGCTTGATGACAAGCACCCTTACTCACTGAGCTATCTTGTTAACACAAATTCTTTAAAACAAAGGTCACTAACAGTAATTTGTATGCCAGAATTAAAGGTTGAAATTACCATATAGATTTAATACCAATTAACATGGGGGAACAATATATTTCATTGTACCAAAAGAATCATAAATATTATATAGAAACCACCATAAAGCAACTGGAAATGCTGGATACAACATATAACTGATGAAACTCAAAAAGCACAAGGACACAGCTGAGAAAATGGGAGAAAACAAAAGTAATAAAAGATATCAAAGCATTCCACATAAGGCAATGGGACAAACATTTGAGGAGGTTATAATAAGCTTTGTTGTGAGCCACCAGCTCACAAATAATGACATGGAGACTTCTTATTAAAAGCTTGGCCATTTCCTTAAGCTGATCCCACAAGCTCTTCTAACTTAAATTAACCCATTTATATTAATCTACATTCTATCATGTGGCACTACCTCTCTTCCATCTTACACTTCCTGTTTCCTCTCCATGTCTCCTGGTGTCTCCTGTATGCCTAGATTCTCCTGCTGTTACATTCTCTCCCCAGAAATTCTGCCTATTCCTCCTGCTTAGCAATTGGACATTCAGCATTTTATTACACAATTTCTACTTTATGTTAAAAGTCAAATAAATTAGATATATAATGATCAAACCTAGACAGTCATGACAAACAAAGAATTCAACTTTCAGGCTGGGCATGGTGGTACACTCTCAGCACTGGGGAGACAGAGGCAGGTGGATCTCTGTGAGTTTGAGGTCAGCCTAGTCTACAGAGTGAGTTGTAAGACAGTCAGGGCAACACAGAGAAAAACCAAAAAAGAAAAAGAAAAGGGGTAGGGGGGGAGAATGCAGCCTTCATAAATAAAATAATGATCCTGGAATCGTACTCTGAACTCAGACAGATATACAGGTTCACCCAAACACAACAATCTATTGGACATATGAACCAAAAACACACAAAAGAACTACATGTTAGTCAAAGATACACACCAACCAAGGACCATCAGATTTCTTTTTCTTAGTCAAATTTTTCATTTTCTCATTTTCTTTGTCTCTATACAAATGTCCAGTTTTATTTCACTCAGAATCTGAAAATATGAGGTAGAGAACTAGAAGAACTGAATGAGAAGCCAAGCATGGTAGTAAACACCTTTAACCCCAGCACTCAGAGGTAGGCAGACCTGAGTTCAAGGTCAGCCTGGTCTACAAAGTGAGGACAGCCAGAGCTGCTACAGAAAGAAACCCTGTCTCAGGGTAAGGGGGAGAGGATTGCCCCAATTAACCAAATCCCCTCAATAGTAACTACTTGGTAACCTAAAGATACTGAGAAGAAGCCATCTAAGAAGCTTACCTTGAGAGCACAGAAAATGCAGGAGTCGCCCATGCACTTGTGAGTTGTAAGCTGCCGAAAGCTACGGCGGAAGATGTCCAAGTGCCACAAAACCTTCCAAAAGAGGGGACATTCTTTAAACTACAAATAACCTTTAACTTTAAAGTCGAGAATTCAAGCAAACAGGGAATGACTGTGGAAAAAAAGAATCTTTATGCTCAGAACAAAAGATCATTCTTACATATTCAAACACATCTCAAAAGGATGAAGAACAAAGCTGGGGAAGGCTCAGTAGGTAAGAGCACACACTGCAGTAGGGCAGTGGTGGTGCACACCTTTAGTCCCAACATGATGTGAGCAGAGGCATCTCTGTGAATTCAAGGCCAGCCTGGTCTACAGACTGAGTTCCAGGATAGCCAGGGCTACACAGAAAAACCCTGTCTCAACAAACTTTTTAAAAATAAATAAATAAAAATAAAAAGAGCACACAATGTCCTTGAGAGTCTGGTTCCCACAATAGGTGGCTCACAGCAACCTGTAACTCCAGTACAGGGGATCTGACACCCTAATCTGGCCCCCATAGGCATACTGCATTCATGTGAACAAAGACATACACACCAAGAATTTTTTAACAGATTTTTTTTTAAATCAAGATGAAAAATGGAAAACAGTAATTAACAAGAAAAGACATTCATTTGAACAAGAAATAAAAGCCACCCAATGAAAACATCTTAGGATAAAAATCAAATGTGACACTGAAGAAAAAATTTAGGGATTATAAACTGTAGAATTGGGCTAGGGAGATTAGCCATGTGGTAGAGCACCTTAGCAAATGTAAGGCTCTGGTTCCTTAGAAAGAATGAACTCATCAATAAATGGTATACAACTAATGGTCTCCACAAGAAAAAGAAGAATACCTTTAAATTTGTATTTAAAAGCTTGAAGCATAATCTTAAATTTTTACATAACATTAAATTTTGTGATAATTCCTTAAGTCAACAAAATAAAAAGTAATAGTGGGCTGCTGGGTATGTGACACATACCTCTAAGAGACAAGTGTATCTCTGTGTTGAGAAGCCACACTGAGCAGGGCATAGTGGCACAGCCTTTTATCCCAGCACTCAGGAGGTAGAGACAGATGGATCTCTGAATCTGAGGCTAGCCTGGTCTACAGAACTAGTTCTAGGACAGCCAAAGCTACACAGAAAAATGCTGTCTCAAAGAAACAAAACAACACTAAAGCAAAAAAAGAAAAATAAGAAAGTCACACTGGTTTACATACCAAGTTTGAGGCCAACCAGAGCTACACTGCAAGAGCTGGTCTTTAAAACACAAAAAGTAATATTATGGGCTGAAGAGATGGCTCAGTAAGCAAGGGCATTTTCTGTGAAGGCAAGAGGACCTGAGCTCCAATCCCTAGCACCCATCTAAAACCAGGCATGACTCCTGTGCTTTCAAACCTAGTGTTGAGCTCTCTGGCTAACCAGCCTAACTGAAATGGCAAGCATCTGGTTCATTAAATGACCTTGTCTCTCACACACAAGGCACAGAGCAGTGGAAGAGGAGACACCCAGCTTTTACCCTGGCCGCCACATGCACAAGCACGGGTACACACACAAACCAATAAGTGCGCGCGTACGCATGTGTGCGCGCGCGCACACACGTAATAAAAATAGTATAAATGTAAAAAAAAAAAAATGATGATGTTGAGGCTGTAGAGGTGACTCAGAGGTTAAGAGCTAGCTGCTCTTGCAGAAGACCTACCCAAGTTCTATTCCCACACCCACAGGACAGCTCATGGTTGTTAAGTAATGCCAGTGTCAAGAATCAAACACTCTTCTAGCCTCCATGGGCTTTGTATGCATGTGGTACACACATAAAACCAAGCAAAATCCATGCACATAAAAACAAATGAATAAAAAAATTAAAATAAAATAACTATAATGCCTTAGGAAGTTTCCTTGCTAGAAAAATGGCACAATACATCAGAAAAAGAAAAAGGAGCCAGGAAATGGTGGTCCACGCCTTTAATCCCAGTACTTGGGAGACAGAGGCAGATATATCTCAGTGAATTCAAGGCCAGCCTGGTCTACAAAACAAGTTCCAGGACAGCTAGGACTGTTACACAGAGAAACCCTGTCAAAGAAAAAAGAAAAGAAAATAGCATTAGCTGCTCTTTTGGAGAACCCAGATTCAATTCCCAGCACCCACATGGTGGCTTACAACCATCTATATATAGTGGGATCTGATAACTTCTTCTGGTGTAAAGGCACACATGCAGATAGAGCACTCATATACATAAAATAAATAAATAAATTCCCCCCTTGGTTTTAAATAATAAAAACAAACTTTTTAAAGAAAACACTAAAACTGCCCTGAGGTACCGGGCCAAGGCACACCTACAGTGTCTGCTACTTGAAAGCTACTTGGGGGTGGCTCAGTGGATCAGTTACTTGCAGAGTCCAAGAAAATGTTGGGTGTGTATGGCATCCCTACCTGTAATCTCAGTGATGGGCAAACATAGAAGGAGGATCATCAGAGAAAGCAGACACTCACAAATACACCCATACACATCACAACACAGGCACACGAAGGAAAAAGACACAATTCTCAAGATACAGTCTAAAATTTTTGAAACAGATTAATAACACTTCTATTATTAATCTCTAATTTACAAAATAGGTAACTGACATTTAAAAAAAAAATAAAGATCCTTGCCTAAAATCACAGATAAATGTAAAATATGATCCCAAGTTACAGACTTCAAAAAGAAGCTGTCAATTATCACATTTCAAAGTTTCTGCAAACATAGCACTGTGGACTAAATGCCAGTTGTCACAAAGAAGAAAGGAAGCGGCCTTACCTGCAGGGCACTGTTAAGGAAGCAGCTGTTCTGGCCCGGCTCATTGCTGAGGCCTTTGCTGGGGGCAATAGACATCGAGCTTCGAGGTGCAAACATCCCTTGAACACTACCAAGGCTTCCTGAAAAGTAATTTCTTTTCCAAGACATTATTGGTCACATTAGCCTCCCCCCTCCCAAAAAAAAAAAAAAAAACCACTCACATTAAAGGGGGGGGGGAAAAAAAAGGCCTTCTATCTTTTGGCAGGGAACTTGTGTCTGCTGAAGTCCTTAAAGGAAAAGAATGCAGAAGTGTGTTTATATTGGAAGACTGAGTTTATAACCTCCCAAGCATCACAGATATAAGTTCAAAGAACTTAGATCCAGGTGACAAAGCTGTCCTTCACTTGCCCCGGTGTTCAAAATGTAACTTGGCACATGATCAATGGAGAGAAGTCCTTAAGTATTGCTTCCTTCTGTGCTTCCCAAAAGTCCCGGTGAAACAGATGGGAGGAAGTCCTCAACTCAACTGTATCCAGGACCAGGCTAAGTAATATGCTCTTCAGCCTTCTTTCTAATGCTTCTTGTGAACTGAAAACTTCTCCAGCTGGAAAGAGAGGCAGGAATCCCACACACTCCTCTTCGCCCTCTTAGTGCCTTGTTTCAACATCCTCTAGCAAAACCTAAGCTCTACACAACTGGAAAGAAGCCATGAAGCCAACAAGTTTGTCTGGATTCTCAGTAGGATTGTTGTTGATCTTCCTTACTGCACCTTTGCAATATGCTCCAAATTTCTTCTATCCTCTCTACCAGATCTTCAGAAAGTCTCTTCTATTTTCTTCTGAGACAGAATACACAGCTGTGCCAGAGAGCTTTAACAGAAAGGAAAAAAAGTAAAAAGCTTACGTCACTTAATGACTCTACTGGCTTTGCGCTGTTCTGCCAAGATCAACGTTGCCTCACCTCTCAGTATAAACTTGAAACCTTGACAAACAATGCTGAGGGGGGGGGGAGAGGGAAAGAGAAAGAGAGAATATGAACCAGCAACAAAAAAGGGAAATATTAAACTAAAGGGAAAAACAAATGTAGGCAGCTTCACTTTCATGGGAAACTTCTCAGAAATTTTGAAAAAGAACGTTACACTGGACAGAAGTAAAAACCAATTTTCCAGAATGTGGTAAAGAAAGAACAAAAACAAGAACTCAGCTGTCTTCTGGGTGTCACTAGTAAAGCACTGTTCAGAAGGTGTCTTCCATGCATGGCTGTGAAAACCTGCTTACAGGTAGGGGCATGTCTTCAGTCTGGCCCCATTCTAGGGAAATGAGGCTCTGCCCCAGAGAATCATTCATGGTCATTAGACCACAGCTCCTTAATATCCAGTTCAAAAGACTCAAGCAATCTGCCTCATCTGTTCACTTGTTTGACTGATCAGAAAAAATAATTTGAGTTATAAATCATTTAATCCTCAAATTATATAGATGGGTTCAGAATGAGAAGTCATCTACTAACCAACTTTTGGCTCTAACCAACTAAAATGTCTTTGAGACAACCAAGTGAATAACGTCAAATCAAGCACTATTCCTAGAAAAAAGTCATCTCATCCCTGGGTGTGTGTGTGTGTTTGCTTGTTTGTTTGTTTGTTTGTTTGTTTGAAAGACAGGGTCTCACCATGCTGCCTTGGAACTCTCTATGTAAACCTGGCTTGCCTCAAACTCAGAGTGCTATGATTTAATATGTATGTCAACCATATCCAGCACAGCTTCCAGGAGTCAGGTCATTAGTCTTAGTCACCAGTGCCTGTACCCACTATTTTGAGATAGAGGGGGTCTTAATATTTAGCTCTGGCTGGCCTAGACATAGACCAGGACGACCTCAAACATCCAGCAATCTTCCTTCTTGTCCAAGTACTCAGATTATAGTATTATAACTCCACCTGGTAAAAGTGCTAAATTTCAAGCTTCCTTTTAATATCTACTATATATACCATTTAGGAAATCTGAAATAGTCTAGGTGTTATAACAGGTGCCACCATTTCATCACCAGAGAGGCAAAGGCAGAGGGGTTACAAGTTTGAGGCCAGCCTAGGCTAAATAGCAAGACTATCTCAATAAATAAATAAATAAATAAAATTGTAAGGGCTTAAAAAGTTTGGGTATGGCAACACATATCTTTAATATCAATACTCAAGAGGCAAAGGCAGGCATATCTGTGAGGTAAAGGCCAGCCTAGTCCACATAGTGAGCTCTAGGCTAGCTAGGGCTATATTGTAAGACACTGCCTAAAACAAAAAAACAAACAACAAAACTAAAATAGGAAGGGTAGGAATGGTAGTACACATCTGTAACCCTACTCAAGAAGTGGAGGCAAGGGAATCATGAGTTCCAGGCCAGCCTGGTCTGCATATCAAAACCCTGTTTCAACCAGATGAAAAGCAAAACTGAGGTGGGCAGTGTGGGCCCATGCTTTATTTCAAGCACTCAGGAGGCAGAGGCAGGTGGATCTGAATTTGAGGCCAGTCTGATCTACAGAGTAAGGTTCCAGGACAGCCAGGGCTATTCAGAGAAACTCTGTCTCAAAAAACAAAAACAAAAATGCTTTGAGAACAATTGACACTGTCATCAGTGTGTCCAGTGGAAAAACTGAGGCACAAGTATATTGACTGGTTCCCCTTTTTCTACATTCCTCAGCTATTTATAATCTTTACAACCTACATGTCACAATTAAGTATTTGGTTATACATTGTATGATCACACTACTCACTGTTTTTATTACTCTTCTTTGTTTTATATAGTATCAGTCCTATGTCATGACTATATAAAATACATATCTAGTATCAAGCATTTGATGATACTATACTAACATTCTTTATTTAATCTTCAAAATAGCCTACCAGGTAGACACTAATAGTTCAACTTTACAGAAGAATAAACTGGGACTTAAACATATCAACTTGCCTAACTGGTATGTGGCAGAGCTGGAACTGGATGGCTATAATACTGTCATTTAATTATCTGTCTAATGTATTCCCAAAGCCCCCACCACAATGATAGTCATCAAGAGGCATTCAACATATATTGCCTGGGGATTAATGTAGAACCTGGAGGAACCCACATCTCCCCCAAGGACTGTAAGTCCCTTACTCCTCTACATATCCTTCATGAACACTATACTCAAGGCCACTCAGCAACTTACAACAAGCCATGCAGCATTCCTTTAGCTCAACTGCTGCAAAGGAATAACAAGTATCAAGCCTCCACTTGGCTCACAGTAGAAGAGACTTGGCAGGTAGGTGGGGTTTCAGTATCACCTGCCCTGTGACACATCCCTGAGCATAGAGAGCAAAGAAGAAAGAGTGGCAGAAAGAGGATTCACAGGCTCTGAATGGCAGCATTATGTGTTGACATCAGTAAGTTCTCACACTAGTTAGGTGTGCTAGAAACCAAAGGTAACACCCAAAAAAGAACAAGGATAAGGAAGGCAGTAAAAATTGTTCAGGCAAACACTGATGACAAAAACATTCCACTTAAAATGAAATGTCTGTGTCTAGACCTAGCACTAAGTAGCTAGTTCTGCAGTGTCATCTACTGAAGATACATGAGACTATAAATGGCATTTCTAGCTACATGGCTCTAATAACCTGTTTTTAGAGAAAATAAGAACCTTTTAAGCAATATTGAACTACAGTATAAAATAGCATGTCTGCCACTCTCAAATAGTACAGAAAGGAATATGCATGTATGCACACAAAAACACAAAGAAAAGGAATACATAGGAAAAACAAATATGTTAACAACAGGTGACTTTCACTGAAGAGTATGCAAATGCCAGCCTGGGGAAACACTTCAGCTGCCAGTGTCTGTCTATAGCATACATAAGACCCTGGGATCAAAAAAAATAAATAAAAAATAAAAAAGAATTAAAGCCAGGCTGTAGTGGTGAACACCTCTAATCCCAATACTTGGGAGGAGGCAGAGGCAGGAGGATCTCTGTGAGTTCGAGACCAGCCTGGTCTACAAAGTGAGTTCCAGGACAGTCACAGCACAGCATTATACAGTGAAACCCTGTCTCAAAATTTCAAAACAAAACAAAACAAAAAAAAAAAAAAATCCTGGAATCAATCTCGCACCACTTAAACCAATCATATGCCTGCAATTCCAGTGCTTGGGAGGTAGACACAGAAAAATCAGAGAGATCATCCTTAACTACATAGAAAATTTTAGGCCAGACTGTACTACATGAAATCCTATTTAAAAAAAAAAAAAAGTGTAGGAGATTTCATCTTACTATTTCTTGTAACATTTCTGTAAAGTTTATAGTTAAGTTGAAAGAGAGGCTGGCAATCTCAAAGTTAGAGAAAAAAAAGACAGTTATAATAAATATGGATAAAAGGATCTGGGACAATGGCTGAATAGGTAAAGTGCTTGCAGTAAAAGCATGAGGACCTGAGTTTGATCCCTAGCACTCCTGTAAAAGGCTATAGAGGCAATCATTTGTAACCCCAGTACCCGGGAGGAAGAGACAAGAATATCCCTGAGGCGTCTAGCTCAAAAATAAGGTAGAAAAGCAAAAGAGGATGGCACATATGCAAGATCCTGCCTTGAATAATGTAATGTCATCAGAAGGAACAAATGCAGTAATCTAATACAAAGAGGATTAGAGCTACAATTGAACATAAAGGAAATGTTCTATTTCTACATTTTTGCTCATTATGTTTAATTCCAGGCAGATTATCCAGGACAGGAGCCTGAACTTCATTTTCTGAATCTGTAAAACAGACACAGTATCTATTTCACTAAATGACTGAGAGTTAACATAATAGAATCAAAATATTAGCAAATTTGAAATGAATTCAATGAATAAGTGAACTGTGACACCTAAAAACAAAAAGGTAAATTTTGTTTTAGGAACCTCAGAAAATGAGAATGTTGTAAGCCACAAGGAATACTTTATTCTAATTTTAGAATTTTATATATATATACATATATATACATATGTATATACACACACACATATAAGCTTTCATAATTTAAGTGATATGTCAGAACAAACTATGTAACAGAAGAAAATTTGAATTTCATGATTATTCTTAAAATACAAAGTTTAAATTAAGCCAAATAATTGAATCTATTGTAAGCAACAGAGGTATACTTAAGAAGGTCTACAAAAGAGATAGATGTTTTAGAGGT